CATTCAAAAACCAAATGCTTCTTCCAGAATTTTAATGTAATCCAAGCTTTGAATTAAGGAAGCAACAAATAAATAATAGATACAGCAAAATTCTGATAATCCGGCTCATTAGGAACGTCAGCGATACCTACTTATAAAATTTGTATAATACTGCAGTGATACTATCATAGAAAGTTTGGTATGTTTTGCAATAATCTAATAGTGTCTAAACCAGTGCTGCCCAACCTTTGGCCTATCACGAGCACATTTCCAAAACATCAACATTTTTGTTAAACATATTTCCAATCTTAGTGATACATCTGAAATATTACTTTCGGCAAATGGGTTTGAGATGAATAATAATATTGGATGAACTTTATGGAGGTCAGAGAAGCAGAGTTCAAAATTATTTTTCAGTGCATTTAGGTTTTCCGAGCATTTCTCTCTTTCAATTGCCTTGTGGTTATTAATATGGCTTGATAAATTCTGAAAATGGATAAAAAAATTTTCTTTCATCTGATTTATCCACAAATTTAACTTTATCTGAAAAGTCAATTGAAAAAAAGTTTTTTTTTTTTCCCTTCTTTTCCATGGAGATCTTCGTTTAGCTGGTTCAGTTTAGTTGTTATATTCCTGAGAAAATACAAATCAGATAACCAATTATTATCGTCCAATTCTTTATAACTTTTGTTTCCGGATTCCAAAAACTGTTTTACTGGCGAAAGAAGTTCTACAAATCGTTGAAGTACTTTTCCCCTGCTGAGTCATCTAACATCGGAATGAAGCAATAAGATTCCATGTTCGCTATCAAGTTCAACAGTTAGCAATCAGTTATTTTATAACGTCTTGCAAGATATCTCTTATGACTATAAATTTTTACCATATGTTAACAATTATAAATATAAATGAATGGTTATTTTTAAAATATGTTTTGTTCATAGTACCTAATCGGGATGGCGAGCACAAGGTTGGGCACCGCTGGTAGAGACGTTAAGCGAAATATCGCCAAGTCTAAAATAACAACCGAAACTTCAGCCAGATGAGATATGATAATTATGATGAGATAACTTAAAGCAGCGCTTAGTTCAAATGTAAAATTAAATTAAAATAAAGTAATAGCCAAAGGCTACACACGTATCACATAGATCTACGCTGGAGGCTGTTTCAATGTGCCCAACCTTTTTCATGCCTTTGTGCATCCGTGGCAAACGGGTGTTTTTTCATTTACAGACACGTACACGTTTCGAAAGCATTTGGGCTAACGCCACTTCGGACTAAAAGTGTTTAAAAACAGCATATCTTTAGTTTTCCGATAGACAGTCTCGCGCGCTGGAGATAAAAATGTTTTATTTCCTATAGTGTTACCACTGCTCTCCCTGAAACTGTAGTAAAAATTCTTTAAAGTTTTACAAAATTTGATGACTCTAGGTACAGTCGTTTTTTCACAGTGCGAGAAACATACATACATTCATGCAGATTTTTTAATTTTTAGTTTCTTTAAATTTAATACAGATCGACAATATTTGCTGGCAACAATGTGAAAAGTAATACATTGCATATAAGTGATTCGACGCAAAATGTCGTTTCGAGATTAATAGCCTTTCTGGGCTACAAAATATTGAGATTGAAAATTCGTATCGAATAAACAGAGGTTTTATAAAAGCCAGCAAGCTTTTTAAAAATGCATATATTTTTATTCACTTATCGTATACAAATTCTATTACGATGGTGCAATTTTAGACTAAATTATGTAAGAAGAATACTGTTGTGCATGTTAAAGAAACGATAAAATTAAAAAAAATTTTCTCAAATATATTTAATTCTCTGTTGTGACATGAAATAAAAAGAATTTTGCATTTGAATGAAAAACTAGATAATCATAAATAATACACTAAACTGATTTACAAAAATATTATTCTAAGAGAGGGTAAATTTTAAAGTTAAATGGACTTCTTTACTTACACAAAAATAACTATGTTGCATATTGCCGACAGTTAAATATGAAACTTTCACACGGAAATGTTTCTTAAATGTAGACATAAATGCCTTTTTTATCTACTACGTATAGCCATCCGAAAACGAAAGAAATTTAATGATGGTGGACCAGCTTAAAAATATTCGTTAGTTCATTTCATATACTTTCTCATAAATCAAGAGAGACACTTATTATTTTCTTGTTACCAAGCGAATTTTTAGTGTGTCTTGATATCATTAGATGGAGCCCCCTCTTTTTGATTTCATTGCAATGAGCCTCTTTTTTATGTTATAATAGTGTATTTTCTATTCTATCTTAGATAGAATAGGAAAAAAAAAAAAAAAAAAAAAAAAAAAAATAAAATAAATAATAATAATAATAATAATAATAATAATAATAATAATAATAATAATAATAATAATAATAATAATAATAATAATAATAATAATAGTGTATTTTCTATTCTATCTTAGCCCACCAGCGGCCGAGCGGTAAAGTCGCTGAACACTGGTAGTTCGGTCCGAGGTTCGAATCCCGCGAATGGGCTGCATGAGTGTTTTCGTGGTTTTCCTCATGTGTAACGTGTATACGAGCCAGTTTCCCTTAGAAAGTCCTCCACGAAGGCATTCCTCCTCTTAGGCAGATAGCCCTCGAGGCTTTGCCGTAATTAAATAAACTAACTAACTATTCTATCTTATTACTACTGCATTTTCAAGGAACAATATGACCAAAATAAATGTTTTGTCGTCATGTGGATGGCTTTTCTTCAGTATTAAAGTTTTGTTATTATTTCAGTCCATTACCTTTCAACTATTTTGCATTCTGTTTCGTACCTATTTATTTTGAATTAAAAATAATAAAATCTTATACATTTAAGATAAAAATGTTTCTTTAGTTTAATAAAAAATAGTTTTAGTATTTGAAATTAATTCAGTTAAGATAAAAATTCACTACTCACTTCAGGGGTGCTGGTTTCGCATTGAAACAGCATTTTCAACACTTTTTTTAAGTTTAGGAAATTTAGTTTCATTTACTTAATACAGCTGCTAAAATTGAGTGTTCTTAAAACTGATAACAGATGGCAGCACCAAACATTTCTGGGTAACCATTATTTGATAGGACGGCTTCAAATATAGGTTGTTTCATAGAGAATTCGGTACTTTTCCGTTTCGCCGGCGCAAATCTCGCCAAGCAGACTTTATTGGCGACAACACACATTATACACAATGTCGTTTAAAATTTGTAAAAAGGCCAATAAATAAAGACAATTTTTAAAAAGAATTTAAGAATTTACCATGCTTTCATGGTAAAACAACCTGAATCGCCGGTTCATATAACGTGATCCCAAGCGATCTCATCTCACGCAAACTACGCTACAAAAATCTAATTCTCTCAGTAATTATCTACATTAATTTCAAGTTAAATTTTAATTTGGAATAAAAGTTTAAATGCAAGAATTATTTCAATTCTTATGAATAGCTTACTCAGACAGAAATTATGTAAAACTGCAGTGCTTTACTTCGCAAGTGCATTCTCATTAGAATGGATGAATTTAACCCTTGACTTTGCCTTTTCTATATTTTCGCCATCAGGTGAGCGGTGTGATTGCATCCTAATTGACTTAACTACTGTCCGCGAATGGCCTTAGGGCATTCTATTGAACTAGCTGGTAAAAATTTTATGTAACTGTATGCCAGTATTGAAAGAAACAATCAATCTGATAAGAAATGGCTGTGACTTGTTTTGAAAATAAGACGTAAAAGGTTACCAGCGAGGATATTCTGCACGGCATCGGTTGTACCATTATTGGCGACTTTATCGCAAAACGGAAAAGTACTTAATTATTTTTAAAATATATATGTTCCACAATATATTTTATAAGCAAGCTTCAATGATTGTTGAAATGTCCTTAGTTCACACACAGACACACACAAAAAGGAACTCTTTTAGTTTTGAATGTTTTCATCGCGTTTTTAGTATGAAACCACGGCCCTCAGAGACACTGGACAAAGGATCAGGTGACGCAGAGTAAATAAACAACAGCCGAGTGCTTTAGGATCTTTGCTGTAAACAATTTCGCCTGATCTCCGTTTGAGTAGGTTCAAAGGGGTTTTTGAGAGAGGGAAAATATTTCTATTTTTTACAGACACTCAGAGCGCACTGAAGAATACTCACAGTTGTGTTTTTTCTGTTTCTCTTACCAGGCGTTTTTCTCACGCTTCTTGTTTATAGTAAAATATTTGTATGCATCTAAATTTATTTTATTTGTACATGTATTTTTCTTAGTTTTCAACATAATTTTGCAAAATATTTCATAATTATATGCAAATGCAAATCACGAAGATTTGCTTATTGCAGTACTACCAAGAAACCCCACAGAGTTCGGTGGATGTGTGAAACCTGTAATGTTGGTTGTGCATATTTCAAAAAGACGTCACATGTTTTGAAAAATTTCATAGGTAATAATTTTATTTGTTTAATAAATATCAGGGTTTTTTATTATTTTATTTTTCTTTTTGCATTTTTCTCTCATGTTTTTGTTTTCGAATTTAACTTTTTAAAAATTTATAATTAAAAACAAAATGCATGTTTATAAAAATATTAGGTACTTCATTATTAGTTTGTTACATGTTTATAAAAATATTAGGGACTTCATTATTAGTTCATTTTGTCTCATATTTTTGTTTTTTGTTTTAAAGTTTTTATTTATAATTAAAAATCCAATTTTTATAAAAACATTACTTAATTCATTATTTATTCAGTAATTTACTAATGTAATCTGCAATTTGGGTTACGTTCAGATAATTTCCAGCAAAGTAAACATAAATGATCAAATGCTTAATCTTAAATGCTCTAGACGGGCGACGGTTTCAAAGGAAACCGGCCCCTTTACCATAAAGGGATATATATTGTCTATAGGACCACTGCATGCCATTCAGCTTACTTTTTTAAAGAACAATTACGTCATATTAAAAGGACAATGTACGCCATATTCGCGTAAATTATTGAAGACAATTTAGAACAAAATAAAATAAAATCAAGCAAATGCACACTGAAATAAATCTATTTATTACAGGATAAAAATATATAATTTGTACATTCTATTCTGAGTCAGGTATCTGTATATTCATGTAAAGCTTGACACACAGGTACGAAAATTAATATCCTGTAAAAGAAATTTCAAAAATTAAGACATTAAAAAAAAAGCAAAATTTCACTAAAACTTCTGCATAAAAGGAACTTTATAATAAAAACTTGACCTACTCTGAACATACAAGACAGACACTAGTGTCCTGTCATACACGGAGTGGAACATTTACACATGGAACAGTTACATAGAACGGTTAAATACGGAACAATTGTATGGAACGGCTACATAGTTACGTACGGTTACATACGTAACAATTACATGGAACGGTTACATACGAAACAATTATATATCAGGAAAATGTTACATAGAATGGAACAGATTCACCAGCAGCAGTGGAAATTATTTTGGTTAACAACATATGACGTTAGCGTCCCGTGTAAAAGTTACGTTCCTTTTTCGCTTCTGGCAGATTTCCGCAAGCCCTTCTCTTTCTAATACAGAGCGAATTAAATTCCTCTTAAGTTCTTCGATTCTTTGACTGTCACCATATTTGACTCTGTCTGATAAAATGTAAGCACCAATTTATATGTTTTTTTTTTTTTTATTTTTTTTTATTTTTTTTAACAAATGGCGGGCACTTGCCTATAACGGCATTGGCCACTATTAAGGGGCCAGGAGTGATAGCCATTTTATTGTGAAGGCACCTAATAGGCAACAACCGTTGCCTCCTATGAAGGAATAGACAATTTTACATCCATGCTTTCTCCGGGATTCGAACCCGGACCTTTTGGTTTCGCAGTCAGGCTCACCTAAGCACCATACCGTCTGGGCGGCCTCTATTTATATGAATGTAAATGTTATGTAAAGATTAGAATCCTCTATTTGAAACCATGTTGAAGTTTGATTTTTTGAGACAGCATCTTCTGAATCTATGAGTGTTGGTTTGACGGATGGGAGAAGGTGTCCGTTAACACAGAGCTACCTTACTCATGCTATTAAAATTGACCCAATAAAAAAGAGCATTCATTTTTTTGTCGTACATAAAGAAACTTGGTGCAATAAGATGCAGATATAATTACTGTGTACGGAATTATCACCATTTCACCCTATTCGTGACGTGCGTCCAAGTAGCACGTGCTAGCAGATTCGTGGTTCGTCGGTTTAAATTCCGTCGAAGACAGATATGATTTTTCTTTCTTTTTTTTTTCGGGGGGGGGGGTTGAAATGTCTAATGGTCTCTGTACTAGCACTCGAAACATTGGCAGAAGAAAATTTGTTACCATGTGAATTTAGTACAGTGGGGCTCACGACTCTCTGTACAGCCTTGTAAATAGCGTTGAACCTAAGAAATCATTGTACTCCCCCGTTCGCTTTCTTGGTGATGTAAGTAGCTAGCACGTATAACTAGCATATGATAGTTTTAATGAGCTTCTTCTTAAAATAAGGTAGAAATGCTATTATTGAAATTAATTTCTTCGCTCATTTTACGAAAGAGTAAAAATTATTATTTTGCATTGTGAAATATTGGCTTCCAAGTTAAATTTCACTATATGTAATATTGTGTTTTAGCATTAGCAATAAAAATTACTTCTTACATTATTTTCAGATCTTTAAATCATAATTACAACATATTTAAGCAATAACTGCTTATACAGAGGCTGTTCGCACATTTTTTAGACGATTTTCATTGCTTTTACAGAAATATTTTACCTAAAATGTTAGTGTTTTAAATGTTCCATTTGACAAACCTTATTCATTACTATCTTTAGCAGCGGAAGATGTATTTCATCGCATTCCTCTTGAACAGCTTTCAAAAGTCCAAGAAGGGTTGTAGGTCGATGTCTGGGAAATCCCTTTTTTAAAAGTCCAAAAGCGCAAAAGTAATTATTTCACAAGACACACTCTTTTAAAGTACAAGCTACTTTTATTATATGTAAAAAATATATCATCACTCGCATTATCTATAGCTACTCATAAATACAGCTACTTGCATTCCAGTCATTTTCTTATTACTGCGCGCGCTTCGAAGCTTGGCGCTGTGCCAGCTTTAAGTGTGATTATGATATACCACTTCCCACCCCGTTTATCATAACTGCAGTCTATCTGGGAAGACGTCGAATTCTACTGGACCGATGCAAAGGTTGTGGCACTGCAGGTTTCTTTGATAACCTGGTTGTATCAGCAACACATTCGGTGGATGGAACATCTCGTACAACCTTGGGCTCGGAGGACGACACAGACTCATCTGCCTGGTGGTTCTTTGGATGGTTCTGGAACTTCACTCTTATCAGGCTCTTTGGATAAGAGCTGGAGGTGGACGTACGAACCCCTCATCTGTCACGATTCCTCCATCACGCATCTGATCGACATGTCGTCGCCATAGCTGACCATCTACATTTATGGTGTAATGAAGCTGCCCATCCTTGGATTGGACGGTTCCAAATCTCCATTGTCTATCACCCCCCCTTTGGCAAAAATTTCTTATGCCACTCTATCTCCTATTCTAAATCCTCGGTCTGTAAACTCGTAGGTTCTTTTTCGGGCTCTGTCTTCCACCCTCCTTTTGAGATCTGGTCTTCATAAATCTATTCTTGTTCGAATTTCCCTCTTCAGCATTAGCATTGCAGGCTCTGCAGAGTAGTTATAAATTCGGAGCTTTCCTATATTGCAACAAAAATGTACTGAGTTTTTGTCTCAAAGTTCCTGGATAATTTTGCATTGTTCTTAAAGATTGTTTTACTGTAAACACATTACTAGACGGTTTAAATGGTGCTGCAGTTTTGTGTTTGATTCCGTTACTCTGTAGAAATATCTTAAACTCATGTGAAGTGAATTGTGGTCCGTTATCACTTACTAATAATATTGGCTATCCGAATGGTGCAAAAAAGTCCCATAAACATTCTATTGTTTTGAAAGTCGAGCTTGATTTCATTGGATAGGCTTCTAGCCATTTTGAGTGAGTATCGACGATTATAAAAAACATAAGCCCAAAAATAGGTCCTGCATAATTGATATGAATATGTTCCATTGGAGCGCTCGGGTACTCCCAATGATGAACTTTTACCTTAGGAAGATCTATTTTATGTTTTGCACATTCAGAACAGTTTTTGGAAGTATTTTCGATATCTTTATCTTTACCATTCCAAAACACGTAAGATCTAGCAATTGCTTCATCATGACCTTCATACACGCTTCTTCCATTTTTTCAAGGAAATTAACAGTGGATTTTGACGTGTCGCTGACTGCTTTGTCTTGATGCAGTTCTACTGACTGATGGCATTGTGGATAAAGAGAAGGTATTTTATATTTGAAAATTGGGTATAAAATATGTTCCTGATTATATGTGGAATTGATCTTAACATTTCTGTCCATTCTCTTTATTTATAATTTTGCCGTTATATGAAAAACCAGCAACTATCATAAATCCTTTTGAAAAACTTTCTTTAGATTCTTTGAACCATGTTCTAAGATTTTTTTTTCTTCTTTTTAACGGTAATAAATGGATCCTCTTTTATTGCGGTCATTTAAACATACCCAAGATTCATCTATTGTGACAACATTTTTTCACTTTTGTCTGAATAATTGTTTCTCATAGAGAATTCTGCAGCGCGTTCTACTTTCTGCGATATGTCGTGGGAGAAAGACGATGCACATTAATTTTTTCACCTTTTTAAGATTCAAATCAGCGTTAATCACTTCGTTTACAGTTGACACTGAGCATTTTAATGATTATGCAACTGTCCTTTGACTTCGAAGATTTTCTTTTAACATTAAAGTTATTACCTTTGCTACATTCAAAACACTTTGTCTTCTCCCTGGATATGTATTTTGAACAATTTTTCTCCTTGAAGCCAAACTTTGACGTTTTTTCCCTTTCTTATTGACCATTTTATCTCTCGTTGCTTCAGATACCACGAATTCATGGCTTTTACAGCAATTTTTAATAACAAAATACCAATAATTTTCTTCGGAAAGAGCAAAAGCATAGCCTTCCGTCCACTGCGTCTTTAAAAGCGACATTTTGCATGAAAACAAAATCGTTAAAAAGTAGATGATCATTTACATTTCCAAAAATATAGCTGCAGTTAAAAACAATTTTCCAATCAGGCGACTTTTTTTTTTTTTATAGCAAAGCAAAGTTGTCTAAAAAATATGCGTAGCCACTGCGTATTTAAAGCATAGAGATGACTGTCGCGTTTTGCACTTTTAATAGTTTAGCATCAATCTGCTACTGATTATAAATATATTTTCGGATTGCAGCTATATGGACTATATGGTTAAAGATCTTACCAAAGTAAGATGAATTGTCAATTGCAGCAAGACGACAAGTCGTCTTGTTGTCGTCTTGCTGCAATCAGTAAAAATTCAACATGGTTATGTAGTTCTTATTTGGACTTCATCTTAATGCATTTTAAATTTTTATCTTCGAAAGTAACTCAGCGAACAACATGAAGAGAGTAATATTGTATTTCCTCACGTAATTTTCCTCGTAGCAATTTTGATCCAGGCTGTAAAAATTTTAAATATATACGGGTAATTTTCTTCTTCCTCAATGCACTTAGAGAACCAGCTCTCTTAAATTTTAAAATGGATCCATCTAACTAGTGATTATTTCTGTCTTACTAACAAGAACAAATCTTCACAAACTACCTGTGAAGGTCAGGTCGAAACTTTCCCATCTAACTGTTGAACTTCATGGAAGCCTAATACTAGAAGCAACCAATCACAGCAAAGTAATCACGAACATTCACCTTCTGTAGTGAATTTATGGATGATTTGAGACCTACGGAGTAGCAGAGATAGCAATTTGAACGGGCGAGATTTAAGATACAGGTATGCAGAAATGAATATATCTTATTAGGTATTGTAATGTTAATGTTACTATTCATTCTTATTAGAATTTGGGTTTCTTTTAAAGAAATAATAATATGATAGTTAGCTGTAGTTTATCTATAACTACTTTTCACTTGCCATGTATTTACTATAACTAATTAAAAGTACTTCCCAAAAGACGTAGAATGCAGTAAAAGGCAGAACAGTAATAAAAAGATTACAAAACCGCGAACGTGCAAGGAAGCACACTGTGAACATCACACAAAAGCCTTTGGATTTTAGATCATTACCTTGCAGCTGGTTCACAACTTCTTAAGAGTTTCAACCAGTATTGCCCTAAGGCCTTTCACGTTAATTCAAAAAATAAAGGTGCACTGCGACAACACCAGGAGTCGAGAATCGTAATTATGTTATAACAGATAGCAATTATATTTTCAAAGAGCATTTTATTTCTTTCAGATAGAAATTCATTTAAGTAGCAAATTCTTTCTTCCCGCACTTAATCATTCTATTTACAACGGTTTATTCAGTGTATATAGAACACTCTAAGTAATGAACTCACATAAGTTTGTACAACAGCACTAAGTCACATGATTTTATTGTCCAACCCTGAGAGTCTGTTGTAGTTGTTAACAATTGGCTGTGGTTTGATTTTACTGTAGCTAATGTTTGCGACACTGAGTTTTACACACACACACACACACTAAATACCCCCCCCCAAAAAAAAAGATTGAATAAAAATATATAACCGTCTAGACGGTGTGTGGTTAGGAAAGCCTACTGCGGTACTGAAAGGCCCGGGTTCGAATTACGGAGAAGGTATGGATGTTTGTAAAAGCACAGTTTTTTTGCGGCACCTGGGCACTCTAAATATATGGCGAGCCGAAAGTCCTCTCGAGTTGTTATTGGACGGGGAAGAGGGGTAGGAAACCCTCAGACCAGACCCCTTGGAGTGCTCTCCGTCAAAACTGGGGGCGGAACTGAACGAAGTCTACTGTCATCTGTACGGTGATCAAGACTTTTTTCAACGACAGGCGCAATCTTGCTCTCCTTGCCACGATGAATTTCGTGGACTTGTTCTGATGTTACTTGTTAGACAAGTGAGATAAATAACAACAAAACAACAAAAAACGAATAAACTGCTAAAAAAAGCCTTTTCTCCAGAAACTGGATTTTTATGGCGGAAAGGAAAGCCACACATTATCCGTCTATCGTCCGTATCCGTCCGTCTATCCGTCTATCGTCTGTCCTCTCAGTCATTCAATCTCGGACAAAAGTACCACACAGAAGAAAATGACTTCCTTTTAAAGATGCACAACAACAAACTGGAGAACTTCAATTTTGGCATCTTATTTTTTTCAAGAGGAGCTCTCAATAGTTTAGTGTTTTTATATGTTATGATTATGGATGGTATTTAAAAAATAAGAAACGCTATGAAAAATTTACTTGAAGCTGGAATTTAAGTCTGATTTATGCCACAAATGTGTGTATTATAGTGACGAAAGGTTTTATCATTCATAAAATGCTCGGATTTCATGGCGCAGCGTTTCTTATGTATTTTGTTTATACTCTAGGATCTATAAACTGAGGTACTGTATACACTGAACATACAGGGTTGTCTGGGCAGTAGTAGGGCAGACAGAAGGGGATGTTACTGCGCTGGTCGGGTTGTGGGGGATCTTAGCTATCAGCTCACCAGTCGCCAGTTATCTCCAAGCCTTCACGGAGAGTAGATCGAGTTTAAGTTGAACCCCTTTCAAGGTGCGTTGTCATCTCTACAATAAATTTGTTAAAGCAGCGTTACGCGGTGAAGTTTTGCGTCAAACTGGGTGAAACTGCGAGTGAGACTCATGACATGATCAAGACTGCTTATGAGAATGATGTCATGGGTCAATTAAGTTTTTATTGTTTCGGGATGGAAGAGAGCAAATTGAAGATGAAATTGATGTTGATCATCTTTTTTGACTGCGAAGGAGTGGTTCGCAAAGAGTTTGTACTGCCTGGTCAGACTGTGAATGTTGCATTCTACGTGGAAGTACTTGAAAGACTCAAAAACGAGCCACCCGCGTCCGTCTAGCAATCGCCGGATCATGGAAGCTCCATCACAATGCGAAGAGCCACACCTCCTTTGCTGTCATGGACTTCCTGACCAAACATGGCATCACACAACTTTCCCAGACATCCTACAGATGTCGCTCCTTTAGACTTCTCCCCCCCCACCCACTGAAAAGAGTCATGAAAGGATGGCACTACGGCTTGGTCCAGGCCATTCCAGAGGCCGTAATGAGGGAATTGAATTCGAATTTTTGTCTTCCAGGGAGCCTTCAGTGATTGGCAGAGTCGTTGGAAACGTTGTATTGATGCAGAAGGAGCATATTTTGAAAACTATTCATTCAATGTGTTAAAATTGTTAATAATAATTTTTTTAAAAAAATTCAATCCTACTTCTTTCTGAACAACACGTTTGCAAAGGCAGTCATTTTCCCTGATTCTCACGCCCATTCAATCAATTAGCTCTGTTGAACACCCATTAACACATGAAATTTTGGAATGTCAAGAATTCCTGAGAATTATCATTTTAAAGGGGAAACAAATCGTTCTTCAGTGGGTGCCTGGTCATTGTGGCCTTTGGGGCAATGAACAAGCGGACTTAGTTGCAAAGAGAGGTGCCAGCTTACTAGAACATTCTAATACAGCAATTTCTTATTGAAGGATTAAACTGTTTTTAAAAAGTTTATTTACGTCTAATATCTTACGAGATCTTCAGACTCGTGCAGCCTAAAAAAGTTGGAGAATGGTAAGTCCTTCTCTTATTCCCTATCGTCCACGACGCAATGCAGTTGCGGCTTTCCGTCTGTCTACAGGACATGATTGCCATGCCGCCCACCTGCACCGCAAAGGCATCGCTCTTTAGGCAATGACTTCGGTCTTTTTTGTTCTTAGTTCTATTGTTTGTAACCTCTGTTTTTAAGATTTTAGTTCTTTGTCACTTTTTGCCTGGCCGCTGGAAATAAAAAAGACTTTCCAGACAAACCTTGTAGTCCATTAACGTGCTACTTAGAAACTATGCAATAATTAATGAAAGATTCTCAAAAGTTTGACATGTGCTACTAATCACTGGATAGGAGAAGTAATAAAGCAGCATTAAAACGTACCTTCTATTTAAAACGCTATAATTTTTAAATAACTTATATATTCTCAGCAAGATGGAGATCTATATCTTTACTGCTGGTTAATAAGTCATGGAACTGAAAAGAAATTAAAAAAAAAATATCAGTTTATCAGGATCAGTATAAAGTGAAAAAAGAGTACAATTAGAATCTAAGATAAATTCTGCTCTGAAAATTTTCAGGAGTTAAAAATTTCTTAAACATTTATACTGTTTCAAATTATCCACATTAAATACGTTATTTCTTCAAATCTAGGACGTCATACACTCTGGTGCACCTGAGTTTGAACCCATCCAACACAGAAATACAATTTCATATAAATAAGATAAAATAAATGGATTCAAGAGATAAAATGCATCTAGAATACTAGCATATCTTTTTAATAATCTATTTTGATTTACGAATGAATAACAGTAGTATTTCTACTTAAATTAATAACGTGAAAAAAATTAGAAATAATTAGTATATTTTAATCGGCCGATCAAATAACTTCGCGTATAAAAGAATGTACTCAGACTCATATTAGTTGGTAAAAAAATATTTCATTAACAAACATAACGTATGCTATAGGATTTTCAAAGAAGAAGTAAATTTTTCAATTAGAACTAAGATTAAATACAACTAACTTTTTATCACAAATTAATTAAATAAAATAAATTTAATTTCATGGCTTTCATGATTAATATAAAGTTAAGTTTTAAATACAATACTAATTTGATGCATTTGTAACGAAATAGCATATTTAATTTTTTTTCAGAGGCGTGGTCAATATTGTTATTATTTCCAAATGATAATTTACAGTTTGAAATTAGGAAAACAAATCTTTAAAACGAAGACATGAAAGCAATACGACTAATGAACACAAATAACTGAAGATGAAAATTTAAACTGAGATTCTGTAAATATTAAACACAACGAACTGAAACTACGTCCGTAATCATAAATAATATCTTTCTCAATATATATTTCTCAATATATAATTTTTATAAATTATTTCTAATATAATAATTTATAAAAAAAAATTGGAATGACCTGCTTTATATTTCATATTTTTTTTCCCTTCTTGCATTTCACCTACATTCTTATGGTTTACTTCTTTATAAACTGTCGGTATATGGTTAGGGAAGCCTAATATACCGACAGTTTATAAAGAAGAATGCGGTACCGAAAGGCCAGGGTTCGAATCGCGGAGAAGACAGATATGTTTCTAAATGTATAGAGTCCGTGCGGCATGGGGGCACTCTAAATATGCGGCCAGCCGAATGTCCTCTCGTGGGGTTAGGTGGAAGAAGAAAGGGGTGGGAGACCCCGAACCCCGCCCGCGAAGTGCTCTTTCTCAAAATTTGGGTGGAAAATAGAAGTCCAACCTCTTTTTGGAGTAGGCTCTGGGAAGGATTGTTCCATGTAATATGGACACAACAACAACAACAACTTCTTTAAAATCTATTCATGTCAGTTACTCAGCATACATGAAACATATAACTGTAAGTAGGAAGGTCTCAAATGGACCTCGCTGTTTAAGACATATTAAATCGAAAGAGCTTGTGCCGAAACACAGTCTGAAACAATCTGCCATCCTTTAACATAAAAAAGTCGACTGTTTTACCAGCAAAAATCAGCTGATAACTTTGTATAAGCACTCCGATCAGTATTGTGGTTAACGCGCCTGGCTCCTGTATTGTTGAGCTCGGATTCGAATCCCAAAGGAGGCTTGGCAAGTGTATAGTGTCTGTTTCGGCAAATGTCGTCTCGAGACGTTTAAAGATAGGGAAGAGGGCAGTAGAAATGAGACTCTGGGATCCGATTCCTGGAATATCAAAACTGGAACTTCTCAGATCTTGCCCACTGTGGTGCACCCTGGACAACGTTCTTTTTCATGAGATGGCTAAATGACCGATGGATATTAGATATTCGCGACGAACATATTTATCTGGACTATCCGGCCATTTGAAACAACAATTTATAATATAACCGCTAGACGTATTCATTTAAAACAACATTTCTTAAAGGGTGTCGCGGGATCCTTGAGGTTCCGAATAAATAAATATATTACTTGTTCAGAGTAAAAATTATTCTTGATACATTTGTAACTACCATCAGAGACTATTTCGATCAGTTCGCTATTATGCTCTGACCTACATGCACGTTATAACAATTTATGTATTTACACAACTAAATGCAAAATTATCTTTAAAGCACGAGCGTTCAAATCCCGTAGTATTTTTAACAAATGTAAAGGCTTATACTCAGAGTTTTTTCCCCCAATAATTATTTAGGAAAATATTTTAAAGACCTACAGCAAATTGATAAAAATATCAAAGCAAGTTGTTTAAAAAATTATTAAAAAAGCTTTAAAAAATGAAGTAAATTGGGAATGCATAAAATGTACGTATTAATCTCGTTCATCATTTGCTATAAGAAAATAAACACAAAGCTATTAGGAATAGTTAAAAAGTCCTCCACAAAGATATCTCTCTTATAGAAAAGTAGCCTTTGTATGCTTAATCTAACTGTTATGACTTTATGTGGCACAAGTGCAAAGAAAGCGACGTTTAATAATAAAGCTAAAAAGACAAAAAAAAAAAAAAAGTGTTAGCATGAAGCGAGTCCAAAACCTAGATTGGTAACCTGCCATGCTCCGACAGCATAAAAAGCATGAATACCTCCGTTGCAACATTAAAATTTGAATCCTTTCAGATTTTCTTTCTTTTTAGCCTCATTTCTTTGTTTTTATTTATTTTTTATTATGAGCATCCATGTATTATACATATTATGTACAAATTATATTATCCATGTACATATTATTAAACTGCTAATTTTGATTATTATTATTTTCGATTTCGGCATTTTAGATATTTTATTCCACAATAATTTTCTTAAGATAGTCCAGCTCTTGTAATAAAATAATATCTTTACGCACTTCCGATTCTCAGTTTCTGACAGTCAGAAATTTATATTACTGGATTTGTTAACTAAAGAAGCAGCTATATAACTTTAATATCCGAATTACGTAAATGCTGTAGAAATTTACAGCTTTAAAAACCCCTTTTAACTCTGATTATAGCCGCCCAACCGGTATAGTGGTTAGCGTCGCTGACTGCTGTGCCGAAGAGCCCGCGTTCGAATCCCGGAGAAGGCATGGATGTGTGTAAATATACAGTCTCCGTGCAGCATGGGGACACTCTAAATATGCGGCGAGCCGAAGGTTCTCTCGAGAGGTTGGTGGTAGCCCATTCCGAGGGCACCCGTTTACGGCTTATTTCAATTATACACAAATCTGAAAATTTTTGAATGTATTTTGAAAAATATGCTTGAAGTTGCCATTTGCCCGAATGGTAAAGAAGCATGGTTGGTTTCGGGGTTTTCGCCGTTTTTAACGAGAATTCAAGTCAGTTTGCCTTAAAAAAGTCCTCTACGAAATCGTCCTTACCTTTAGGCAGATAGCCCTGGTGTGCTTGGCCGTATTCAAACTACTAACTAAACCATAGTTTTCAGTAATTGTTGCAAAAGTAGAAAAAATTTGATAATTTTTGAAAAAATTATTGATGATTTTGCTCAAATAAATGAAATATTTAATTATGAAATAATGCCTCGAAAATTAGTACAGTATCTTTTTATATTAATCGCATTACAATTTCTAATTTTCAGCGTTAGTCATTATAGCTAAATTATCAAAAGCCTACTTTCTATTCTTTTCTCATCTCAAAACTAAGCTCATTTTGGGCAATATTTTTCTGGATATATATATATAAAAAAATATATATGATTAAAATGTACTATAAAAGCATAGTTATAATCTAAAACATTTGTTTACTTGTTTGTTTTGCTGTTTGCGCTTTATTTATAAACTTGTCCTCCTGCCTCATCTGATAAAATATTTAGTACGGCTCTCCCTACATGACTGAAAAAAAAAAAAAAAAAAAAAAAAAAAAGATTAGACGATGCAAAACGACCCACCTGGTTGTATGCTTTTTTTAGCTGATGACTTAGAGAATTGACTTTTTCTTCTAAGGTTTTATTTTCCAAGCACTTCTCAGAATACAAATCAGTGATGCGAAGAATTTCCCTTTTCAGCTCTTCGAGCTCATTGCTGCGATCAAAAAAGAAATAAACATATAAATATTTTAAAAATTCTTTACTGCACGCTCTGCTCTTTACATGCAATTTACATACATTTGCATTTTTACACTTTTCAGAGGTATTAAATACGTGTCGCTACATTTATGTCCCCATTTGCAAAAATTTACAAAAATGAGCGTCATCCTGTATCGTGTAATAATGCCCATGAATTTTCGTGGGTACCAAAAGTCTGATAATCCAGCGAGTTCGAAAATTTAGCTACGCTGGATTATCAAGTATGGCGGATTTTTGGACGAAAATCGCATAATTCTACAGTAAGATTTCTTTCGCATTATCGAATGTATTGATGAATGAAAAAAAAAATACATACAGAGATTTTGCAAACAATTCTACTAAGTAAAGCTTATTAGTAAATAAATTTATTTTTAGTTTAGTGATATTTACTCATTTTACTCTGAATTATTACTAGCGCATGAAATCTACATTTTGAATGTTAACTCATAAGATTCTGCCTTAAATAAGTAAATATATAATTCAGCAGAACATAAATATTTACTACTTTTCCGATAGTATATTTTTAGTATTTTTGCATTATTTCATACGTATATGTTTTATTCTTTACCAGCCTCGTACCAAGGGATTGTGGTTGAATCCTTGTCTTCATCGTTACTCTCTATTTCTTTTGTTACTTTCGAATTTAATACACTTTAAATTATGACATCGTCACTTATTTCTTTTCCAAATGTCTCATTTTTAACACTTTCAAGAAATGCAATATATTTTTTTTTTCTGAAAATGTGGTTATGGATTTTTTGAAGACAAATCTTTAATTGTTTCCAATTACTCAGTAGTTGATCATCGGATCTTTTAATATTTTCGCCTTCTTTGATAGAACTTTTTTCGGTATTTCAGTAGAATTTGGAATTGCCAAAATTTTCGATAAGCTTTCTGTAACGCTGTGTTGTTTACGTGTTCCCAAACAACAGCAGTCAAGAAAATAGCAATTTTTTTATATTGGAATGAGCTTAAAAGTTTTTGCCGTGAGAATTTAGCACATTTTGCGCAAAGGAATTCATATACAAGTATTTACATTTAAAGTTTTGAATAACTCCTCGATCTACGATTTGGATTGATATTATCCAGCTAATCATGAACTGTCTCATGATTCCGTTTTATTCCCTTATTAATGTTTTCACGAAGTTTTAAAATCATTCTAAAATATAAACAAAATGCTATATAAACGCGTTTAGTTAATAAAAAGTTTTGGAACAAAATAATTGAAAATGCCAAAATAAATCAAAGCTATTGTCCAGCTTTTTCGAAAATTGCTGAATGAGATGCTAGGAGCATCATCTTAACGCAAGAATGAATCATTATGAGGTGTGGTTATTGCAGCACAAAAGCGTGCCCTTGTGTTCCAAGTTTTGCTTAAATTAAAAGCTTGTTATACCCTTCTTACGACTTCTTAAGATGTCGTTTATCTTTGCTGAATGCCTTCGTAGTGTAACAGTAGCACAGTCGGCGCGTTTTCGAGCGGTCCAGGTTCGAGTCCTGGCGAGGGCTATGCTCATTTTCATGACTTCTGTTTCAAAATAAGCAATTGACTCTACAGTGGGGCCCAAACTAAAATGTGGTGTACGATGATTCTTTACCCACAGGATTTGGCAACTAGGGTCCCCTAATCCCCAATCGCCCTTTAAAAGGTGAGTATAAGGTTAATTAGTTAGTTCTAAGCACTGCCCCAGCCCACCTAGCAGACGAAGCCTATCATATGGCCATGAGGGGATAGGCCAATCCAACAACATACGAACGTTAAATACAGAAACATAACAAAATAAATGGTTACATAACGGAATATAACAAACTTAATAAACATCTGGTAATAAGTTCAGATCGCACAATCACACAAAACGAACATAAAAAACACAAAAGAAAAGAAGGGGAAAAAAACGGGTTATTAAAAAAAACACGTAAAGCAGATACATACATTCCAAACACTCTCGATGAAATTAGTATACAGAGGTACCGTTTCCATTTTCCGTGTTCTTTCTTAAGTTTTAAATCTTTATAAGTTTTACTTTCAATTATTATTATTCAAATTTTCTTTATATTATCAAAATTCATCTCATATTTATAAAGTTTACTTCAATCATATCTGCTTTCAATATGATTTTCTGCTTTGTTAAATATCGATACCAATATTCATCTTATTCTCTTCACAATTTGCATGATATCTCTCGCAAATTTTCTAAACAATTTATAGTTACTAAATAAATCTTCAAACTTTGTAAATTTATATTTTCCTCTCACACTTCCAGTCAGGTAACAGTCCTCGATGAAGTGCTTTGAATCGCCGAATTTATTACAAACTTTACATATATAATTTATAGTATCATATAAGGTATTTATCGTATCATACAAAGTATTAATCATATCATTATAAGGTATTATAGTATCATATAAGGTATTCTCCCTTCTTCTAGCATACCTTCGTGGTGTAATTGGAAGCATTCTCGACGCGTATTCGAGAGGTCCAGGTTCGACTCCTGGGGAGGGCATTGCACATTATCTCCCAGTATCAAAAAATCCTAATGACTATACATATGTATGTTTATAGGACTGAAACCGCATTATCAGATTAGGTTTAAACCTACAAACCTTCTGTTGACTTACACATGTAAAACTTCTATTTCTGGTAAAGCCGACACATTTTGGGTGAATCACAGTCCCTCATTTATTAGAACACAAGCTTTCTGAAAGTCTCTTAATTAGATACAAAATTCGGAATCTTAATTCTTTTACAACGGAAAATTTAAAATTCATGTTTTTACGTTATCATTTTTTGGAAACAAAGGGCATTTTTTAAAAATCTGCATTCAAGAATTTAAGATACTTGATGGTTTTTAGCAATAACTGCGTACATTTTCCTAAAATTTTAGTCAATGAAATCTCGAATAATTCAGTTGTATAAGGAAAAATTTTCCGGATTCTTCTGTTTCATTTGTTTTGTTATGGAAAAGACTTCTCTGATTGACATCGGTCTTTGTCACTGTGTTCCACATTTGTGACTAAAATACGCAACGTTAACAAAATTCCAGCAATTTAAAATATTATTAGTTTACCTTAATCGATTTATTTTGAAAACTCAAACAATGAGTTTGCTTCCAGTCGTTCAGTCTTTCTGAAACATACAGTATAAGGAATATATGTAGAAATAAACCTGGGAACTGAGCACATTAAAGACAGACACAGAGAGAAGGAATACTTACCCATATTTACAGTAAAATGATTCACACTGTTGGGCTTCGTTCTTAAATTTGTCCAGCAAAGCTTCTTTAATTGAAGCAGTTTCTTCAAGAAGCTGCTGCGAATAAGATTTTTTAATTGCTTCCAAGGCTAAAAAAAATAAAACTTTTTTAAGTTAATGATAACAACTGTACGCGTTTAGCACTTAAATAATATACAATGTAAAAATCTAAGTTTCAATTTCACTTCTAAAGAAAATTTAAAACTTTTACCCTCAAACATCTACTCATTTTTATGCACATAAAATTGTATCCCTGAAGGCAACTTTTAGAAGTGAAAAGAGCAATTATATGATGTCTGGTTGGAGTTTAAAATGAAATAAGAAACTATAACTAAGCACTAAATAGTTAGTTATTTCTTATTCCTTTCTCATTGTATTATTGTAATGAATGTTTTAAATTGGAACATATTTTTAAATTGGCATATTCAGCTTTTATTAGTACTAACTGAACTGAGCTCTTAATCAAAGGTACGAATCTATAACTTTCTAATTACTCTACCCTGTAATCGTTTTGGTTCAAAAATATGCACAGCAAGTTTTAATTTACTAAACCTATTAGTATTTATTTATTATGGCATTAAAGCTACACCCAAAAAATGTGTGATATTTCCGTTATTGTTACAAATACACTCAAATAAATCTCTTACTTTCTTTTTTTATTCGGGAAAATTTATGATCACGACATTCTTCTACCTTATCAACTGATAAATACAAACCTTAAGTTATTATGTGAAGTTCCATCCTTTTCTCTAGTAGCTAATTGGGAACCTTGTAAAACCTTGTTCACTAGGAACCTTGTGAACTGGTAAGATAATAATCGCTTTAGTTCAGGAATAGAGGCGTAAACTCAAGAAGGATTAATTACCCCTTATTTCTCAAAATAAGAACTTCACAGTAGGCTCCTTTCTTAGAGCTTAACAGAAAAGCCTCCACTTGGGCTTGAACTCAAGAGTACTAAGAAATCAAACTTAACTAATGCTAAACTAAAAAGATATAGCCGAAGCTATCAAAATTCTAAGTTGTTGGCCCCTAAATATTAATTAACTGGCGAAGCTATCAAGGGCCTAAAATACGGCCGAGCGTAGTAATAGCTTAGAGATAGTGTAGCCAAATGACAAATGCGCGCCAGTCAGAATATCTGGCTCTCTAACGAAGTCGGTGGAACTTCGACTACCGCTCTTCCTCATTTGCATTAACCGTGATTCTAAAAACACATTCGGGTGGGAAATAGTAAGCTGAAATTACGAGAGACAGGAAAGTAGCTTTAACTAAAGATAACTGTTAAAAATTTTGGATAAACCTTACAATTACATTACACATAAGATACAAATGCAAAATGCAGTTACCTGTCATCGTTGCCTGGGCTTCTGTTTCTAATGCTTTTTGCTTTTCCGCTTCTAATAATGCTATTTCATCTTTATGACGCTTTTCTATTTCAGATGTGATGCGATTATGGTAATTTTCGATTGCAACTAGGCCTTTCTTGAACATATCCTAGACGGAAAAACAAGCTTTAATAAATTGCAGGGGAAAAATAGTCGAATAAATGCTAACTCATTATTGCTATTAGCTAGAATGGACATATATCGGTCCTATTTAGTCCCAACACATCTATTTATTCGAAAAGCTCTCTTTACATTTCATACTCATAAATTAATACTGATTTCACTCACCTGTTACAAATAATAGAAATAATAACTGCTTTTATTTTTAATGATCTGCTTACATGTCAGAATTTATAAAACCATTAGCAAAATATATGTCAAAAGTAATTGTCCATCACATTGACAAAACAGATCACTTAAGCTGCACGATCCTCTTGAATGTTTGCGACAAGGAAAGTTTTTGTATGATCGAAACTAGGCTAATTCTGCCAAAAGAAACAAAATATTCTAGTCTTGTTAATATTTTTACGAATTTCGTACTTAGATAGGTAATTTTAGGAGAATTGTAAGTAAAATTGTTGTATCTTTCTGCGTAATGTAGAGCTAGACAAATTTTAAGAGAAAGCTGTGCCAGAAAAGTAAAAATACAGGGGCAAGTGCATTTAACAATGAGTAAATGGGTAATCTCGGTAATTTGGTGTGAAATCGCCAAACGTCGCCAAATTTGGGGACTATTTGGCAACATTTTGGTCTGCTTCCTGTATTACTGTAATACGTATTGAAATTGAAAAAAATGTAATTCAGCTATGTTAGCTGTAACCGTTATTCCAGCCTCTTATTGCTTTCCAGTGATTTCGAGAAGCAGAAAGTACTAGAAATATCTCGCGGCCGGTTGAAAACTATTTAGGGCCGAAGGGAGAGCATCTGATCTCAGTTGTTTAGTTAACTGCGGTTGTTATTGTTGCGAGTTCAGTGTGAGATTGGCTTAGCTTTCTCTTTAAATGCGCTTTGCATTCCAATGTGTTTAACGTTTTTAGTAGTTTGAAGCGTTTAATTGTATTGTGGGATACTGTGACACCTGTACGAGAGTTCCAGTGGAAAATTCGAGAATTCTGAAGTGCTTATTTTAATAAAATTAATTTCATTAACCCATCATCGGACCTGGTCCATTCAATCTGTTACGAACTCGTATGCACGCAACAATATATTATTCTAGAATCTAGATACATCACTGGGAGACATATGCAACTATGAAATCTGCTCAAGTAACACTTTTATTTACTACAAAAGATAATACGGACTAATATGCATTTTACTTAAATTCCGTTTTTAACAATACTTAATATGAATACAAATGACAAATGATGATGAATGGTCTCTTTTCAAAGCTCTATACGACATGTTTCTTTTCTCCTAACCACACAATACGTATCTCTTTACAAATATTTCGCTGAAAGGTATACAAAAGAACAATGAAAATACATATTTCCAACAAAAGCCTACAAAACTTCATTACTTTCGCTTTCTTTCCTGTTTCAAAGAAAGCGTACGTCACCTTTTTCCACTTAAGATCCTCCTCTACCCGCGCCAAAAAAAGTTGGTTCCAAAAAATAGATAAAACTCTCCAGACTAGTCTAGGTGATATCAGGAGGTGGAAAAACGTGTCCAGATTAAAGTCACAAATTGCCATTTATTCTTACAACTGCAGAGGTGTGAAAATGTATTTGTTACAAGTTACATTGACCTTTTCAGCACTTTTGAACCGTATTTGATAATTCCAGGTGTGTGTAATCATCGCTTTCACTACAGCTGAAGAATGGGGAGGGGAGATTTCATTCTGAGGCGGTTTTAAGTATAATCTTCCCGCAAGGAGAGGCAAAACGTGACCTTCTGGAAAAAGAAATCAGTATGTCGGTTGAAAAATGTGTGTATAAAAGTAAGCGGATTAGGGAAATCGTAAATTTTATTTATCTTTAAAAATAAATATTACTTTCCGGATGGATTACTTACTTTCGAAAATATTTCTTATGTTACATAACATGAAATAAATTTAATCGTGTTTAAACTAAAAGCAAGAGCACAAAAAGCCCGCGGGATTGAAAAACTCTCTAATTGGTCTGAGGGCTATGCACTTTGGGAAAAGTTGGACAAATTGTAATTACCTCATGTCGCTTTCCAATATTTTAAAAATAATGTCAGTTGACTAAAGCACAATTGTTAACATATTAATAACAACTATGGATTCATAACCATCAATTTATTATTAATAACTTAATTAGAGATTAATTGTTGCTTAATAATGAAATTTACAAAATATAAAAATAAACGTATATTAAAATTATTACTAAGGTATACTTACTTAACTAATTCAAGAATGTTATTTTAATATATAATACTATGAACAGGTATATTACTTCAGCCATTGAGAAGGCTGGAACTTAGGCAGATTGCAAAAACTGGCTGAAGATAGAACTCATGACCTTCTTTGCCGTGGATTGACTGCTAAACCGATCAAGTCAAAAGCAGATGCCCCTGACATGAGCGATTTTGGCAATATCTTTCTTAGGCTGCGAGAGAAGATGCCCCCAACGCCAAACAGGTATGTATTCAGGAAACTTCAGATTACAGGGTAATACCTCGAACAGTTAAAAAAGATTAAAATTTAAAAATAGAAAAATCATAGTATTAAAAAAAACTGCAGTTTGATTTTGGTATGCAAATTTCAGTTAAAAACTGAAATTGTTTACATTCGACAGGCCAGCCATTTTAAGAATTAGTCTTCCAGAAATAGAAGACATAAAACATACAACTTTATGTTTGAAATGGCAGAGCTGAATGGCATAAAAAATATTTCTATGGCTCATTCATTAGTTTTTTTGACGCTACATGGAGGTTCGTAAGCTTATTTCATAAAGGTACTACTTAATTATTCACACCGTAAATGTGCATTTGTATCACTTGATCTCTTGCGCAAGAGGCTTGCAGCAAGACTTCACTCAAATGAGAATACTTTGAATGTTGAGACATCAATCCAAGAAATGGAAACAACAGCTACCTGGAAAAGATTATTCTAAAAATAATAAATAAATAAGAGAGAGAGAAAGACTAGAGGCGACGTGCCGCTACCTGGGTACATAAAATACTGTATCTGTTATAAAAACTGATTGAGGGGAATGGAGGCTTGATCTACTTGAAATCTGGTGAGCCATCTTTTCTTATATAATCGTCATTCGACTTTATAAGTTAACAATTTGGAATTTATTTCCTTACATGAAATATGTTCTACAGTGGAACCTGAAGACCGAGATACAAGCACCTCTATATACGAGAAATTCGAGATACGAGGATAGTATGAGGGAAGAATTCGTCTCTAAATACGAGCACTAACTCGAGTAACGAGCAATGAGTCAGGCTGTTGGTATGCGTGGCGCCATTTCCCGATCCGGCTCCATTCGGGTAATCTCCTCGTCAGATAACTCGGTGTTCTTTGATCTACGTGTTTGTCTACGTGTCAATTGTTTATAACATTTAACTTAAATAATTATTTCACGATGCCTCCTAAGAAGACTCAGTGCTGCAAAGAAGAAGGAAGCCATGGCCCGTTGAAATTAAGAAAGAAATCATAGATAAACATAGATACTGTTACTTCCAAGCAATGTCCAAAACTCGTAGAAGATGTTGAGAAACTGTTGTTGGTGTGGATTAACGAGAAGCATTTAAAAGGTCGGTGTCGGAAGCGATCATTTGTCGGAAGCTATCATAAAGGTAAACTACGATTATACTATTTACCAGTGTTATTTATTTAAAAAAATGATTATGTTAATATTTTTGGGGTTGCGGAACGGATTAAATGGATTTCCATTATTTTCAATGGGGAAGTTCGTTTCTAGATACGAGAAGTTCGCTATACGAGCTCAATGCTGGAACGAATTAAAGTCGTATCTCGAGGTTCCACTGTAATTATATTATGATAATCGCAGATCAGGGAAATAAAGTTTAACCGGCAATAACTTGTTCACCCTTCTTTAATGAGCAGAAATACTTTGCCCAAAATATTCATTTTAACTCCATTTAAATGTTTTCCTCAGAAAATACGTAACAATACTTCAAAATGCCATGATTCTATTTCAGATTATTTTGAAACCCTTATAAATGTTTCTAACACAGGAGCAGTTTTCTACAATAGCAAAATTTTAAAGATTTACGGTTCGTAAAGGGTATCGGAAGCACAAGAAACAGGTGTGTAAACAAACACAAGTAGCTTTTCTGTAGCTAAAGCATCAATATAAAATATAACCTACCTTTATATCTTCGATTTCTGTTTTATACATTTTTCGTATGCTTTCTTCGTCCACACTGTCACATTCAAAATGAAGCTTTTGCTCATACAGGTTCTTTAAGTTTTTCATTTGTTCTTCGTACTCTGCCTACAATACAATACACAAGACGCATGTGATTTAAAAGTAATGTATACACTACGATTTATATCAGTTTATACTGCTTTGCATTTATCATTATTACTTTTTAAATTCTACTGCCTTTCACAGGCGAAAGGAGTTCTATTAAATATCAGCAACTAACAAAAATAATAATAATAATAGTAATGAAAGTTTCAGTTTGAAAGAAGAAAATGCTTACGTAGCAGATTGCTATTACCAATACAAGTAAATATTGTAATTACAACTAACATTTTGAACAGTGTGCTAACACCGAAAATAATTGAATACATTGTGATTATGCTGAGACATAAACAAGGCTAAAAGTTATAAGGTACTTTAGCCCTATTTTCTACATGCCAACGGGGTTTAACTGGAAGCATACTCGACGCGTATTTGAGAGGTACAAAGTTTGAATCCCGGCGAACGGAATACACATTTTCACATTTCTTCAAAAAAAATCTAATGACTCTACAAAGTAATAAGATCTTAATATTATATTCATAGTTTTCCTTATAACCTGAACTTACTTTATGAAACCGATGGAGTTAAGGCAATATGCTGTAAATTCAGCAATAAAAACTCCAACAGCTCACAGAAATACAGAACCACAGATTAAGTTTTGTAGAGAAACAATTCAATTACTATTAATATAAATTCAATGTTAAGAACTGAAATGAAGAAACATTTTAATAAAACACGAAAAAACTGGTACTCTTTTTCCTCTCCCTCTCCTCTTTGAGGAAGAAGAAGCAAAATGCTGGAAATTCAACAGTTCAAAAAAGAAAAAAATCAAATCTAATTCTTGATATTCGAATATCAGTTACTCTGGCAGTGAAGAATCATAAAATATAAAATTTACAATCTATATTAAAAATTTTAAAAGATGCTGGTATACCACATAATATCTATAACCTTCTTAAAAGCTTCTTGAACGAGAGGACTGCTGAGCTTCAGCTTGGGAACGAAGCTAAGGTTTATTTTTGGAACATAATCATAAATGATCTTTTAAGTCATCTCGACGGTTGTTTAAAAATTGCGTTTGCAGACGACTTACTATTAATTTTCCAAGGAAGGATTCTGAATAACATTCTTTTGAGAGCACAAGAAGTTCTAGATTTTGTCTCCAGTTGGGCGATTTCTCATAAACTCACTTTCAATCCTTCAAAAAGTAAAGCTATGCTTGTTCCCAGTATGTTTGATGAACAAAATATTGCTTCTTTGATGCTCGATAATTCTCCGTTGGAATTTGTAGAAAATGTTAAATATCTTGGTGTCATTCTTGACCAAAAATTAACATGGAAAAAGCACATTGAATTCCTTTCTGCTAAATGTGAAAAAATTATTAATGGCTTTCACCGAATTGCCAAAAATACTTTTGGAGTAAGCTACGATGTTAAGAAACTCATGTATAAGCAGTGTACTGTACCTTTCATTTCGTACGGCTGTCGTACTTGGAGACATGTTCTTGCCAAGAAGGTTAACAAAAGAAATTTAAGAAAGATTTAACGGAGAATTCTTCTTCGTATTATTAGGGGTTATAGAACCTTAAGCTATGAGGCTACTTTTGTTCTTGCAGGAGTTCCGCCTATTGATTTTGAAATTGCATATAAGAATAATATTTTTGAGTCATTGGCAACTCATGCTTCGGAAGACTGTATTAATGGAATTGTCCCCTTCACTGATCTTCCTCATCCCGCTGCTTTAGAACCCATAAATTTCTGCGATTATAAAGAGACTGCTGAAATAAGTTTTCATATGGTTTTCTTTACAGATGGCAGCAAGATGAACAACAAGGTTTGCCTTGCATTTGTTCTTTTTGAAGGCTATTCCGAGATTTGTTTTCTTAAACACCGTACACGAAATGAATGTACAGTTTTTCAAGCAGAACTTCTGTGCATTTATCTTGCCGTCAAATGGATCCAGGATCATGGGACAACATCCTCAAAGTACCTTATTTGTTCTGATTCTCTTTCTTCTCTTCAACTTTTGAACAGTATTACCAGCTGCGATAAATTAGTTATCGAAACCCTAGTAACTGTTAGTTCACTTAGAATTAGAGGTATTGATATCTGCTTTGCTTATGTGCGCACTCATCATGGTTTCTACGGAAATGAAAGAGCTGATTTCTTAGCTAAAGATGCCTTAAATTTACCCATTGATATCAACATTAGCATTCCAAAGAGTTATTGGAAGTCCTTTCATTACAAAAAGCTTTTAGCTATGTGGAATGAGGAATACATTTCCTCTTGTAATGCTGAAGTCACCAAAAAGTTCCTTCCTTCTATTTACCATAGACTGAATTCCGAGTCTTTCCTCTCGTTAAATTTTAAAGTGTCTCAGTTTTTATCTGGTCACGGTAAATTACGATCAAACAATTTATGTGAATGTTTAAAAAGAGTTCCTCAGGATGTGGAACATTTGATTTACTCGTGCCCTACATTTGATGGCCCTAGATTATGCTTACAGAACGATTTGAAAATGTTCGGAGTGACTTGGCCAGTGAACTTATCTGTTTTCGTGAAGTCCAGACTGCTGTTCTCTGCTTTTGTTCGCTTTATTTATGCATGTAATTTTTAATGTTTATTTATACATGTAACCTTTAATATTCTAGTTAACTTATTTCTGTAAGCCCCGTGTTGTACATATGTGGTGCACGGGGAGTCTGTATGTTCTCAAAGGAAAAAAAAAATGGTGTTTTCATTAAAACTAAAACGATGTTACTACTTTTCAAAGAGAGGTTTTATTAAGAATGAAGAAAGGAAAGATTTTGCCTCTATGATTCTCAAAACTTAATTTTCCCGGCCGTATTCGATAATAAAAAGTTCTCACAACTGATGACCTAATTTCTTTATAATTTAGTTCCATGACCTTTCTAATGTCAATAATATTTAATACAGGTGCTTGGTTTTAGGGCATGTGATGCATGCCTATAAACTTCAAATAGGAAAAAAAAAATAGTGTTACGAATTTTGTACTTAGATAGGTTATTTTAGTACAATTATAAGTACAATTGTTGTATTTTTATGTGCAATGTAGCGCGAGACAAATTTTAAGGCAAAGCTATGCCGAAAAAGTACGAGTACAGGGGCAAATACATTTAACATTGAGTAAATGGATATATCGGTAATTTGGCGAGATATCGCAAAACTGACAACGGCTTTGACGACTTATTTTATCGCCAAATTGGCAAGATATCGCCATAAGTCGCCAAATTTTGCGATCATTTGGTGACATTTGGGTCTGGTCCCTGTATCACCTTAATATGTATCGCAATTGAATTAATGTAATTGACCACTATGTTATTTGTAACCGTAATTCCATCCTCGTTTTGCTTTTCAGTAACTTCGAGAAGCAGAAAGTACTAGAACTATCTCGCGGCCGGTTGAAAACTATTTAAGGCCGAAGAGAGAGCATATGCTGTCAGTTGCTTAGTTACTGATGTTGCGAGTTGTTTAGTTATTGGTGAACTGAGATATCCGAGTTAGCTTTCTCTTTAGATACGCTTTGCATTGTGTTGTGTTTAACCTTTTTAGTAGTTTGAAGTGTAACCTCTGATTGTACAGTGTGATACTGTGAACAATTATACAAATATTTCTGTGGAAAATTCCAGAGTTCTGAAATATTTCTTTTGATAAAAATAAAATTTTATTAACCTATTATCGGACTTCTGCATTCAATCTATTACGTATGCAACAATATTATTTTTAACCCAATCGAATAATAAAATCCTTATTAACTATTTTAAAATACACTGCTTTGCACTGAATCATCGATTTTTATTTAGAATCAGAAATTGAAAACAAAGTGAACTGCGCACTGTTGTGTCTTCTCTAATTCTGCCTGTGCATGCTCTATGAATATCAGCATCATTTATAAAACAGTATATTTTACAAGACAAAGGGAAAAATCGTTTCCCTTTTTTTCTCTCTCGCAACATGAATTCGAATTTTCCCTAAATGCATGCGGTACTTTTATCGCATTTAGAATCAGAAATTGAAAACAAAGTGAACTGCGCACTGTTGTGTCTTCTCTAATTCTGCCTGTGCATGCTCTATGAATATCAGCATCATTTATAAAACAGTATATTTTACAAGACAAAGGGAAAAATCGTTTCCCTTTTTTCTCTCTCGCAACATGAATTCGAATTTTCCCTAAATGCATGCGGTACTTTTATCGCATTCAGATGGACAAAATGAGTGTTCTTCGTTTAGCACTGAATTTGGTGCAATTATTAAGTTTCAGGCATTATTATTGCGCAAAGGCGAGTATTCTGCTTCGAAGTCTTACATTGTACCGTACATTTTTTTATAGTTTAAATTTGACTTTTTTTAATTTCTTAAGGCTTTTAAAGTATTTTTAAGGCTTAAGTCTACCGATAGTTAGATTTTGATCGTCTTCTAAAAAAAAAAAATTACTTGATGATAAAACGTGAAGAGAATGTGCATATAAAAGTCTAAATCCGAGGCATACGCACACTGTATGTAATCATAAACTTGTATAAATATACTATGTACAAATATCAACAGTATTCGTAACATGCATGATCAGTGAAATGTATAAGACTGAGTAGCTGATTTTGCTAATATCAGCGTTAACTGTACCACTGTTCAAGTTTTATCAATGATTTATGTACAGTTTTATCAATAACTAATGTAATTCATCTGCATATTACAATTGGAAATAACGCGATCTGCATAAATGAAGCAAAATTGAATTATGATGAAAACTATCTGTGAACCTTATCTGAAAAATTTCCATTTCAGACCTTCAATTTGAGGGATTTAAAATTTTTATTATAAGCATTTAATTATTTTTTCTATTATGCAATGTTTAACAACATATTAATATGCAAATACTATATTCTACTTTGCAGTACATGTAATTATAATTTTTATTTATTAATATAATTTTCGAAATATTTGGTGTTCAGCAGCATACGCTTTATGGAAATATAGGATACATCCCTGATTCAACATGTGTTTGCTCGAAATGACAAAAATAAACTATTCCCATCCAATGAAAGTAAATTTCCTGCATAATTAGCATATGAAAATGGAATAATAATTAGTCGACTAATCAACACATCAAAAATTAGACTTAAAATTCCTGCATAATTAGAATACGGAAATAGTATAATAATTAGTCGACTAATCAAAGCACAAAAAATTAGACAGTTATATATTCGGATTAATGTTATGATGGAGACAATTATGTAATAATGCTGAATATTATGATGTTAAAACTGGGATATGAAAGAGAAGATTCCAATTTCTCATTCACTTATAAAAAGCTAAATAATCTAATTCTAGATAAATCTATATTTACATAAAAGTTTGCTCCAGGAAGATTAAATAACGGGTATTTTTTACAAGCAATCTCTGTTTAGAAAGTACACAGCTCTAAATAGAGATTTGCGTTGACAAATGATTTTTCCCCGAAAAACGACGTTTAATTTTCTTTTTTCCCCTCTATACTTATCGAACAACCCTCGCAAAGTGAAAAATCAAAGCCTAACATAATGTTAAAAACTATGACAGCAATCACATATAATATTTATTTGTAAGAATGAAAAACAAATGTATACTTTCAATCGCTGCAGTTGCGTTGTTTTAGATACAAGCTCATTTTCCTTTTCTTTCATTTCTTGTTCATGGACTTCGCTCTGGTGGAAAAAAAACAAATTAGCATAAGAGATACTGTTAAACTGTAAATAACAGTTAGAGTTTCCTCGATGATAAATGTTAAAAGATAACCATATGATCTAATATTACGTCCTTATAGTTATTTTGATAAATATATTTGATAGTTATTTTGATAACTATATTTGATAGTTATTTTGATTATTTAAAAATGATGTTCTAACATCTCATACAGTGTCTCACAAAAGTGTGCTTTACAAAAGGAACTTGTGCTTTACAAAAGGAAACTGTAGTAAAATAAATTAAAAAAACATGTAAAAATTTTTTGTGGGTTTGTTTCATACTTAAATTTAGTAACAATTATTACATAACATACATTTTCTCAAAATATTAAAATATTAATTTAATAAAAATATAATTGTTTAGAACGGAGCAAAAAATGGCTCACATAAGTGATGGAACACTTACTTTTCCATCAAAAATTTATTCAAAAATTTTACTTTTTAAAAGGTTTTAATATTTTGTTGGATTTCCTTTCAATTTTAAAACATGATTTAATCTTCTTGGGATGGATTCGACTAATTTTTTTGTGATTTCTGGAGTGATTTTACCCCATTCTTCTTGAAGCACCGATTTTAATTGTTGTTTTGAAGAAATGGTGTGTTTGCAAATTCTTGACTCAAATTCTTGCCAAATATTCTCTATGGGATTTAAGTCTGGAGATTGTGGTGGTGTTTTTATTATTTCAGGACAGTTATACAGCAGCCAGAGTCTAACGTTCAAAGCACTGTGCTTGGGGTCATTGTCCTGGTAGAATTTAAAATCGTTATGAAGGTTCAATTTTCGTGCTGAAGATTTCAAATTTTGATTTAAAATGTCAATATAATTGTACTGATCCATTATACTGTCAATAAAAACAAGATTACCAACTCTAGCGGACGACATACACCCCCCTACCATAACTCCTCCTCCACCATGTTGTACTGTTGGCACCAAGTTCTGTTTGCGAAATTCTTCCCTGGGTTTTCTCCACATCAAGACTCTACCGTCAGAACCAAATATATTAAATTTACTCTCATCAGCAAATATAATTTCATTCTAGTAATCAGAATTCTTATTTATGTTGGATTTTGCGACCAGTCTGAGTTTTCTATTCTTTTCACTTACGAAGAATTTTTTCCTGGCTGCTCTACCGTGATATCCAGCAGATCGAATTACTCTTCTAATAGTCTCAGAATTAACAATTACTCCATATAATGCTTGTAAATCAGGCAGCAACTTTAGAAACACTCATTTTTGGATTTTTTTTTTAATATTTCGAACGATAATTCGCTTTATTCCATTGGATAGCTTTGATGGTCGGCCAGGTCTTCTTTTATCCTGAATCATACGATTCTTTTTATATCGTTTAATGATATTGAAAACTGTTGAATGACTCAAGTTAACTGTTTCAGCAGTTTCTCTAATAGATTTTCCACGTTCAATATGCAAATTAATAACTAATTTTCGAATTGCAGGCAAAGTTTCTTTTCGTTTAGCATTCATGGCTGCACAGAGCTAAAAAACACAAAAATTCCAAAACAAACTGGAGAGAAATACTGAAGACGATTTTATAAATTATTGCCAATTGCTTTTAAGTAAAAATAAAAACCCCAAAAAATATTTTTATTGTAGTACATAGTAGTACCTATTGGTGTCCCATCACTCATGTGAGCCATTTTTTGCTCCGTTCTAAACAATTGTATTTTTATTAAATTAATATTTTAATATTTTGAGAAAATGTATGTTATGTAATAATTGTTACTAAATTTAAGTATTAAACACACCTACAAAAAAGTTTTACATGTTTTTTTAATTTATTTTATTACAGTTTCCTTTTGTAAAGCACAAGTGTCCCATCACTTTTGTGAGACACTGTATGCTTTGGGATCATAAACTCAGGGTGTAAAGAACCCTTTATTACTCGTAACTCAAGTGAAGTTCCCAGATGGCACCGACTAGTGCTTACAAAAGCCAACAGTTTGGGCTGACTAACTTTAAATTAAATGACAGTTAAATTTAGCACAACGGCTTCACAGGTTAATTAATGCCCAGGCTGGCTCTAAAAATTTGAGTAAACAAGCATAATGGCAAGAAGCGCTCAACGGCAGACAAATCTAAACGCTAGGAAACTAAAGATAGCAACGTGGCTTTCAGGCAGGCAGAGCACACTCTGAATTCACATTCAAACATCTTTTCTTAAATACTAGCTTCTTCCTATTGCATTTGAATACAAGCGCGCTAGATCATTTAAATTCTAGCGAGAAAGTGTGAGTTTAAAGCAACGGCTATAGGAAAGGTTGCTTTAAAATAAAATAAAAGTTAAGTAAATAAATCTCCATAATGTTAAACCAATAATTTTGCATGTTCATTGTATTCTGGAGGCTATTACAAGATTCTTGAGAATTACTGTCTTGCCGAAGGATATAACCAGGAAAATTGTCTTGCCGAAACCAGGAAAATGGCGGCACGATTACCGGTAAGATCATCCTCGTGTAGTGCAAATAGTATTGATATGTGATAACCACTAATTATGGAGCGAAAACTGAAAAGAAAAGAGAAGGACAGACAGGCGACTCTGTTTTAACATTTAGTAACATGTATGATTTCATTTGAAACTGTGGCAATCGTTAATAATGGTACCAAGGTACTATAAGGTTTGCTCTTCTCGACCAAAATCAAGCAGCGTGGTGACGTTGATGTCCTGCTTCAAAGTAATTAACCACTCCCAAGGTTTCGGTTTCGCCAATCAGTCAAATGTACTCACTGAGCAGATAAAGATAATATCACTGCCTTGAACGTCAAAAAGAGAAAGAACCTTGACACTGAAAGAGCATAACCTTGTCTATCTACTGACTTTTGAATGGTGCAAAGAATGGGGGAAACGGAAGAAGGGGAGACACGCGACATTGTTTTGACATCCAAGAGTCACTTATCTTCCTTCTTTGTTTTCAAGATACTTTCATCAATATTTGTGACTACAATTTTCATCTTAACTGCGATCCCAGTATAGTCAGAAACGGATAAAACGGCCATCAGTACAGTCAGAAACGGCCATCTTGACTACTTGTGACTACTTCTGTAAGTAGCAAATATCTTGTAAAAATTAAGAAATAGGGCATAGAACGAAGTACAATTCGACAATAAAATTACTGATCTCGCACTTTCTCGACCCGTTCAAATTGAAATAATAATATCAAGGACATCAAACATCCGGTGTAGTCTGACAGTACATATCAAAGTACAATAACCAGAAACATTTTATTTATCTGTAGTTCCGTAACTGTAAGCTATTACCTGATAAATGTTTCAGTTTCTTAAAAATTATTTTTGCGATAATGCGTTCATTTTTTTTTTTTTTTTTTAGTTTTCTAATCGTGAAATTTTTCCTAGCTACAAGCATAGGGACTAGCTAAAAACAGAAAGGGGCTTGAAATAGGTCATTAAATCGACATTTACAGAGATATAAAAACTCAAAATGTAAAATAAGTAGTTACTTATTAAATCATTCCTTTTAAAACATGATTTAAAAGCTAATTTACTTAAGTCGAATTTCTTTTTAATGAAAAACTTCAATAACAGACGGATTGAAATTGGTAAAAAGGTGCGAAGCCGAGTCTTTCCGAACAATCCCGAGTCTTCCAAACAGTTCTGAGTCTTTCCAAACATTACCGAATGAAATGCTAGTAGCATCATCTTGCAGCATTGTGTCCGTGAAAGTAGTGGCGGCTTATCAGGTTTGTAAAATCAGTGAATGCCGGACTATTGGGCTTTTCCTACATGCGTTTAACAATTTAATTCATTTAGTAACCCCTGCATATCTCGGATTTAGAAAGATCAGAACTGTGCTAAAAATTTACCGGTATTTTTCCATTATACGAGCGCCACGATAAAACAATGTTAAAATGTGCAGTAACGTGCTGAAGATAGCAACAATGCGATCATCTACGTCATCTCGGTTTTATGAGTGAAATTGACCCAAATATTCAAGTGTTATGATCTACGACTCTTTTTTAGAACTGTACGAAACATGATTTGATAAATGACTTATACATTATTTGGCTAAAAGCATTTTTACAGGTAAAAAAGAAAATGGATTTCACAATCTGGAATTTACCTTAAGACGAGGAGGAGGCAAAGAAATTACTACACGATAAAGGAATTCTTCACATGTGAAGATTTTGAAAAAACAGTCATGAAATTATGTTGTGTTTTACCAATTACGATACATCAAAATGGCGTTGCAACCTTAGATCTTGCCGAGAAAAAAATAGGTGCCACATCTCACACTTGTTCTGAAAGTTCGCGCCTAAATTTCCTTACAGCTGTTATAGGGTCTCCGTGTTCTTTTAGGTAGCATACAACGTGGACTCTACGTAGAAGATGAAGTAGCGAATTCTCGCTGTCTTGAAAAATAAATACTGCAGAAGAAGGTTTTAAATAACCTTTTAATTTAACTAAAATGAACAGTTGCAAGCACTTGGTGCTCCCAATTCACCACCACTTGTAGCTTACTTAATTATAACAGAAAATAAGAATGTAATAAATCGCTAATAAATTTAAAGGGCTAACGATTGTTTCCTTAGCTTAACTAAACGCTAAATCGGCTGCACATAGCAAAGCCGAGCCTAGACAATATCAGAATAAACTGAAACGTGTCTAACATCGACTAGAGAGTTAAATTCAAACACGCAGCATAAACTCGGAACTAAGTCCGCTGCTACCTTTCGAACTCTTGAAACACACATTAAATACTGCTTCTGAAACACGCTTAGATTAGCATCTACGTCATTACAAATTTACATTCCGGCAGAAACTGAAATCAAAAGGGAAAGGGAAATAAACTACAAATAATTGGTTAGAATAATATTAATTGGTTAGAATAATATAAAGTCCTTACATTGTAAAACTTATCTACTGTTGGTGTCAAGAACCTATAGTAGAGAACCTCAGTTAAGTCCTGTAATGTGCAATTAAAAGTGAAATATAATACAGTCTAATTTAGGTAGTTGTATTTTATATTTAGTATTTACAGATATTTTACCATAAAATCAACTTACATCTTCCTGTAAACGTCTTTCTAGTTGCTCCATTTCTTTACGATATGTTTCCTCTATGGTTTGTCGCTCAGCAGTGAATTGCTTTTGCAGTTCTTCACACTGAGTGCACTTCACAGTCTTTAAATTACTCTTACGCTCATTTTCAGGAACACTTTTATAAAATTTAGCACAGAGTTTTTGTAACATCTCATTTTCAAGTTCTAAATAGGTACATTTCTTCAAATTACAGCAATTATCCCGCTGCAAGTAGTTTTTCCAACTAAGATTCTTATCCAAACCAGATATAACTGAGTTGAGATATGTGCACCGAGAACATTCAAAAAAGCCATCTGTCGCCGAAAAGGTTGCTTTAAACCAAAAATTATTCTGTAATTCCGAAATCCACTTTTCGTATGACAAGCAATCACTCGATCTCGCTTCAATGTCGTTATAGAAAGAAGTCAAAGTAGTTTCTAGAACTGTACATGTAACAGACAAGAATGACAGCTCAGATACCAATGCTGTAATTTCTTTTAGAACGGTAGCACCAAGCGCTGAAAGCGCGAAGGAACATTCATTTATCATAGGACATCTTTCTTTCAACTCTTCTACGAATGCATTATAACTTTTCTTCAGAGCTTCAGAAGTATCTACACACCAAGTCTGGACCCTGTCGTGCTGTACTTTAAGAACATAGAAAGTCTGTTCTCGAAAACGGGACAGTTGCAGGTCAGCTACAGCATAAATGCCAGAAATGACAGATATTACGTACTTCAAGATTGGATTTGATATTGTGATATTTCCTGTAATATCATCCTGGACGGGAACATCAGCCAGTACATCCCATAATGATTTGAACCTAATATCTTTGGCTTCTTGTAGTGAACTTAATACAGAAGTTCTTTCAACTTCTAGCTGTTTCAACCGATCAACGGTACAGCCTAAATCTTCTTCACTTTCTTTGCACTCTGGAAACAGTTTATTAATTATTGGATAGAAATATCGTATATGTGGAACTTCGGACACTAGATTTAATATATCTTGCAATTCAAATTGTTCAAAGTCAAAAAAAGCAGCGCACAAAGTTTTGCCTACTGTTTTAAATGCCCATTCGGTTACGTCAACTCTAGCAATGAAGTCCACACTTTTAAAGCGTTCTATCCTTTCCAACACTTTTATCACTTCAAAAAACAGAAAAATGGCATAAAGTATTTTTTCATTCGGTGACCTTTGAGAGTTTTCTAACAATCCATGATATAAATAATTTAGGACATCGGCGATGAATAACACATTCTCACTGGTAGAAATATTGTCCGCATTTTCATCGGCACATATATGATACAGAGAATTTTTCAGCCATTCGAGAAGATGATTTACTTTGTGTATGAAAATACTTTGGCACTCAGAGAAATTTCGTGGAAGTTCGTCAAAAAGTTTCCCTAGATCAGGAAAACTGGACATACTGTTATTCAAAGATATTGTCCTCCAATCATCAGAGTCATCTAAAGAGCTTGACTCTTCAGTGTCCTTAACCTGAACAAAAATTTTGGATTTCTCACAATCACTGGCCTCTGGACTTCTTATTCGTTCTATAAGTAATTCGTGACAATTTTTAACCTTCGTTCCAAGTGTCTGCAATCGTGAAAGAAGACCTTTGCTGCTTTCATTATTTGTTCTTTTCGAAGGAGAAGATGACTCTGATGCATCATGAATATCGGATTTAACTGGACTTACTTCAGACGTTAACCGTTCAGAATCATCTGTTTCTGAAGATTCTTTATGCAATGAAGTTTCGATATTCTCTATTTTCTTTTCCAATTCCGACAGTTTTGATTCATATTCCTTAGATAAGGATAATATGTCTTTATTTTTCAAAGAACTCTTCCTTCTTTCTTGCTTGGTTTCACTTTTAGCTCCTTTTTGCTTTGGCTGGCGATAATTTCTTTCAGCATTTGTAAATTTGGAAGTGAGATCGTTAATTTTAGCAGTCATGAGAGCAATTTGGGCTTCATAACTTTCCTCTTTCAGTTTCATTTCTTGTTCCATTTTATAAGAAGAAATTTCTAAATTGTCAAAAATGGCATGAGCCTCTTTCAGTTCTGCCTTCAATTTACGAATCTCTTCCTTTGCTGTGACTAGTTTAGACTTCAGGTTTTTGCACGAATGGCATTCCATTGTATCGGCAATTTTTGACTCCTCCCGAGATGGTCCTTTCTGGCGAAATTCGTCAATAATTTCCGCATCTGTTACATAACTTTTCTTCTCACATAATTCGTTTTCGACGTTCAAAACATTCGAAAGATTCACAAAGTCAGTTTCTGAGGATATATCTCCGGAGAAAGCCGCACTGTTATCATCTGTTGACATATGTTCAGGAAGTTCTAAAACAGCTTCTACATCCTCATCCTGTTGCATCGAACACAAGGTATCCTGAAAAATACGAAAAATGAATTTAAAAATTTAACCTACAGTGTAATTCTCACTCAGGTTTGTATTGTGACAAGCATATTTACAGATTTTGGTTTTGGTACATAGAAATTTAGTGTATATAATACGTGCAAGATAAATTGCATAAATAAACTGTACAACTAATGGCTCAGATCTACATGTGCTATTTTGCAAATGTAGTTGTCTGATAAATTATGGTAAAACACTCAAGATTTGTCTTTTTAAGGGAAAGTGTCTTACATTTTCTAACATATGAGAAAGTCAGAAAATTTCACGTAGTCAGATCATTCACCACGAATCAAACCACGTAGAACTGCCAGCTTTTATTCACTCCACTCTCGCCGATATTTTACAAAAGTATAAATTATTAAAAAAAAAGACACAAATAATGACAATTTAATTAAAAAATTCGATATTTCCTAAATTAGCCCAAACACCGGTATTTTTAAGGTTTTGAAATACAGTACAACCCAAATTATCCAAACTCCGACTATCCAAATCGCTGATTAACCGCATCGCTTTAAGAATTTAAGAAAAACATTAAGACGAAAACGTAATGTTGGACAATCAATGAATCAGACATTAAAAGGAACAAACCTACACTTTTAAACTTGGTGTCACTGCTTGAAAACGAAGTTTTTCTAGAAAATCAATGAAGGTAGCAACAAACAAAAATTTAGAAGATGTCGTTTTCAAGCAGTGATGCCAAGTTTAAAATTGTAGGATTGCTCCTTTTAATGAAGACGTCGTTTTTGCAGCAACGTTCTATGGGAAACCCAATTTCGGGTCCGATATTTTATGAAAAAGCTACGATCTTAGCTCAGAAGCTTGGGTGGTCATCCAAGCTTGTAACGTAGTGCAGGCACGTGTCCGTCAAACAGCTTACTTTGACCGAGATGTTCAGCAAACAATGACTTTCAGCACTTGTAAGTAGTGTAGAGTACACTATCTAACATGTACGTAAAAGGGTTGCCTTACTTTAATTAATTAAAACCTCTTTTCCTTTAAAAATAAGTTTTTTCTCCCATTTTCAACATACAATACATACAATAAGTAATAAAACTGTACGTAGACCCTTTCTTCGGAAAAAATCCAATTATCCGAATTTTTGATTATCCGAATGGAGTTCTCTCTCAATTGATTCGGATAACTGGAGTTCTACTGTATTTTTAGATCCGTACTAACGGTTTGCAAGGTCGATTACACTTAAATCGATTTATTCTAATACACAAAAGATCCGCAATCAATGAAGATATTTTCATGTAAGAAATATGCGTAACGTGTAAAAAGTAATAAAACAAAAGAAATGCTGCCTTGTAAAGGACGTTTTACATCCTGCTGCGCACCTTCGTGGTGTAGTTAATTGATCGCATATCTTGCTAGCAATCGAAAGATCCAAATTCAAATCCTGGCAAAGGCATAACTGATTTTCTTACGTTTCCTACACTAAAAAATACTAAAATCGCTGTAGCAGCGTTAGTCAAAAATATGGCGAAGGATAGTTCATCACCACTAGGATCAGGCGACTGGTGTCCCCCACACTTCTTTTGTTGCCCGTCACGTGGAAGAGAATAAAAGGAATTTTCTCTTTTCTTCCTCACAGTACGCCTTCGCGGTGTAATTGGAAGCACGTCGAGCTAACAATCGAGAGATCCGGAATTCGAAACCCGGCGAAAGCGTACCTGATTTATAATATTTTCTGCATCTAATAGTCTATGTAAGCTTATATTTATTACTAGTTTTATTATGCATAAAGCCTTCTTCTGATATTTTCATAACTCATCTTATTTAGCTTACATTTTATTTCTAAAGTTATAATCAATCTACACGTTTAAACCGCTGATTCAGAAAACGGGTGGGTTTTTTTTTTCTTCTGTTAAATTAATACTTGTTCGGCGTGTTATTTTATCAGTAAATTATTAGAAACAATTTCTCATGCCCAGGCTCCAAGGAACAGAAATTCAATTAAAACCATGAATTATTATAAGAAAAAAATTTTAGTCAGTACCTATTATTATAAATTAGTATTATCTAGGCCTCTGCTGCAGTAAAAACAAGTTAATTATTCGTAATAAAGTGTACACACATATATATATTAGAAAATTTCGAATGTTAAACAAAAATAACCTAAACTCGGATTCAAGAGTTTTTTTTTTTTTAATTTATAATTTTTTAATTTTTAATATTTTTAATTTATATTTTTTAATCTACAAGCCAGAAAGCCGTTGATCTGGTGAATGAACCCTGGAATACAAGTGTAAGTACATATATATGGAAGCAATTGCCAAAGCAATGGTGCCAAAAATCACGATATTTGAGTTGTAGAGAGGATAATCAAAATATTGTGGATATGCAAAATAAATAATCATTGAGGGTATACAATAACATAAGGATAATAACAAGTGTCATACATGATAACTAGACGTCACATTCAAAAACACAAGGTACAATATAAAAAGCTACATTAGCATACATCAAGGATTGCAAGAGGTCTGTCTTTGTAGTTCAGATCATTGTGATCATAGTCTGGGATTTTAATTACAGGATTACTGAGAGTGCTCTGCTTTTCATGAAATTTTTTTGCAATTTGGTAATAGAAAGATCTTAAGACACAAATACCCAGTTCCTTATGTATCCTATTATTTCTGATATACCACTCAGCGTTGACAATCTGCCTGAGGGTGGAGTTCTAAGCGACCTGTAACTTTCCTCTGTACTTATTGCCAGAGTAAACCCATACAGGACATGCATAACAAAGTAGCGGACGCAGAATGGATTTATAAATGAGTAATCTGTTATATATATATAAAACACTGTTTCGAGCAATTAAGAAGAAGAGTCTAGCTCTACGTGCTCGAAGCTTCTGAATACTAGCTGTTATGTGTGGGTTCTATGAAAGTGTCTTACTGAGGATCACTTTATCGATATTGCACATACAAAGGACAGGAAGGCCGGGCTAGAATTCGCAAAATTCGAACCTAAACCCAACAGGAGGGAACATGACTTGGTTAACCACCCTAACAAATTAAAGTTTACTCGCTAAATTTATCTAATAAGAAGTAACTAATGACTACATTTATTGATTAATAACTAAAAAAATGTTGATGACAGGTTCTTAACACACAGACTATTTCCTAGAAACCTGCATTGTAGAACATTTCAACGTCGTACATTATTGCCACAATAAATATACAGATTCAGCTTCCTACCATGGATGTTGTAAAATTAATATTCGGAAATTTATTTGATACAAAAAAGTGCCTTCAAGGAAAATTTCAAGCCGAATGGTGTGTATGATCTTGACTTGGTATGTGTATGATCTTGACTTGGTATATCTGTTTTTGTTTTTGTTTCTCCACCAAGACCTTCGGACCATACGAAAAGCTTATTTACTTTTACAAAAATTTTCTCTTACTCCAGTGACATGATACATACATAATCAGAGAAGTCTCTATATCTCCCTATTACATTTTGAGGTTTTAGAGTGATTTATTTGAGAAAATGAATTGAGCTAATGAAATCTGTTATCAAATCTGAGTTTGGTGTACCAGGATCGCCTAGACCCGTGACATCGTCCCTGAATCCAAGTCTGATGAATCACTACTGGCTGCCACGCGAAGAAAACTTCAACTGTGAAGATGGATCACGCAGTGTTTGGTAATGAACACTCACTGAGTGAGTAACGAACACAGCATGCAGGCAAAATTAGTATCAAATAAATAAAAATGAATCTTTCTTAAAATTATTTTGAACATTATGAAAACAACAAAGGCATACAGACCTCATCCTCATCAACCAGCGAAAAGTATTCTGACTGATCATCGCTGGAAGAGGACATTTCCATTTGCTTATCATCACAAAGAGGAAGAGATGACAGACTAGATGGTGAGGATATCCTTTCGAAGTTACGGTCGGCGTGATGGAAAATTATGTTCCGGCAGAACAATTTCAGTTTTGATAAAATCCTCTTTCGAGGCGGAACTCCAGAGATTTGAAGCATAATGTATTGCTTGGATCCACTCTCGACGGAGTTCTTCTGTTTCTGCAGCGAGAACATGCTTCTTGCCGTCCCACATCTATAAATGAATAAATTTTAGACAGAAGAAAATAAATAAAATATAAGGCATTCACATTACACACACACAAAAAAAAAAAAAAAAAAATATATATATTACGAAACAAGATATGTTTGTAAGAAAATCGCACTGTATGTCAAGTCGAAAAAATTATGAGACCATTAAAGCACGAATGCACCATGAAATAACTCTTGAGTCATCTTGCCGCAGTCCACTAAGTAACTACTGGGAGTTATCCAAGGTTGGATTAAGACTTATAGAGGATCTAAGCATTCATACTTTTGTGCCCATATACATGTTTACGCCGGTGTTTTCCTCATTCCTTCCCTCTCTCGGTCTTAAATTAACTGCACCATTTGTTCCATGCTTTAACCGGCAATGGGAGAGCTATATGGTGTTCCTTTAAATTGAGTGCTTAAGCACACTTCTATGGTGCCTCCTTTCCTTGATGCCCTACGCACCTCCTTATTTTTCTTAATAATTAATCCAGCACTTGAGATATTTGTAAAATGCAATGAATTAAAAAGCTTAATTTGCGAATCGAAAGCCAGCTAATACGATGGAATTTACGGCCGTAATCAAACATAATTTATGTTATTTTTTCACTCTAGTTTTCACGATGAAACTTAGGTAATACTTTAAGGTATTTTCTCCTTCCTTTCTGCGGGCCTTCTTGGTGTAATGGTTAGCACCCTCGGTGAGTTTTCAAGAGATCCAGGTTGGAGTCCCGGTAAGGGCATTGCTCATTTTTCACTTCTCAAGCATCAAAAAAACCTTAATGACTTTACAGTGGCGCCCGAACTAAAAAAAAGTGGTGAATGATGATTCTTAACAACCAGGATTTGGCGACTGGATCCCCTAATCTCCAGTCGCCCTTGAGAAGGGAAGAGTTTCTCCCTCCTTTCGGCACGCCTTCGTGGTGTAACGGTTAGCACACTCGGTGTGTGTTCCGAGTCCCGGGTAGGGCATTGCTTATTTTTCGTGTTTCCAACTTCAAAAATCCTAATGATTCTACTGTTTCGTTTGATTGTCCATCAGTGGTACTTTCATCTAGCACAGAAAGCTTTTATTTCTAAAATATCGATGAAAATTATTTTACAATTTTGTAATATGCCTTTAATGAGATTACAAGAAAAGTAGCCTATTTAGGGAAAAATATTTAATATTAAAAAACACCTCTTTTTGTCACAGCAAAATAATATAGATTAGAACTTGGGAATACATAGGACAAAAATTATTTGTCATTTTTGTTGCGGTCAACCTTTCCTATGCACAACAAATCATTACATTTCATAGAGATTTACCAGTCGAAGTATTATACAGGGCAATGTAATGAATGGTTACTTTTCATGCAGGCACATTTTGTACAATTTATCCGGAACAAGAAAGGAATAACATTATTACCCTATCTAATTACTACTTTCGCAAAGGTGTTGCTCCGCATTTTTCAGCCCTCTTAGCTTGCAACTACCTATAGAAATGTTCTGCATTTTAAAATAGCCGTATATGTGTAACTCGCACATGTGTATTGCAGCAGCTCCGCCAATTCACCAGCATTCTCTACAGATATACCAACAACTTTCCCGCTTAATTCCAGAACATCAAAGATTGCACATAAGGAAAACCACGAAAACGCCCATGCAAGCTAGCTCTTTCGCCGGGATTCAAAAACGGACTGAACTACCAGTGTTTAGCGACTTTAGCAATTGGCCGCTGGTGGCCTGCAGCAGTGGAAGTTCTTGAAATAGATAAACCTGAGTTTTTAGTCTGCAATTAATAGTCAAACTAAAAAGAATCTTCTAATTTTCCTATTGGTTGGATATGTTTTTTATTATATACATAGTTAGATTTTTTTTATTTGTATATAGAGAAAAGATAAGACAATTTCATAGGATTTGCACAAGATAAATGCTTTATTGTAATTTTAATATGCAAAATAAAATGTGTTTCTAAGGTAAAACTTAGTAATTATTGATATATGCCCCATAACTTTAGCCATTAAAATTAAGAACTGTCTTAAGAGCATAAAGACTACGATACTCACCAGTAAACTGAATGCAAAATATCTGTCTGTTTCATACTCTCGAATGCTGCTAACTTGATTAAGATCAAAAATTCCGTCCATAATTCCAGAATGTTCTGCCGTGGCATCTCGATAGTACGTAAGGGATGAATCTTTTAGCACAAACCAATGCCTTGACCAGTCTTTGGTGAATGTCTGTCGAAATAACCAGCCTATTCTTGTAAACACGCCCTGATGAAGATGGGTAATAAAAAAGCCTGCAGCACGTTCTCTTACATAAATAACAAAAGCATATATAACATATAAACAAGGTACTATATATAAATGCCCGTGTACAATTTTTTATGTTTCTTTGTCTTATAATAATAGTTTAGGACTTTATTTTGTTTCAATAATTACCTTTCACTGTCGTTTAAATGTTGTTATATGTACTACAGAGACAACGAGATATACGTACGACATGAGTATATAGGATACAAAAACATCTAATGTGGATACCACATGACTTCCTTGTACAGCTTATTAAATTATACAAATTTTTTTCTGCATTTTACTTAAACTTATTTCCTCGAATTTCATTGGAGATAGATTTCTCAGTCAATGAATTCAATTCTCACTTCGCGACAAGGCAAAAATACATAAAAACTCAAAATACCTTCAATAAAATTTGAAGAATTAAAAAAAAAAAAAAAAGCGTAAAACATCAAATACAGTTAAAACCATTTTTACAATTAAATTTAGATTTTCTGCGCAAAAACAAGCAATTCGGCCAGCGTGCAAGAAGACAGATTTTTCGGTACACAACAAAACTGAAAGATTACGTTTGGCCCCACTCGCCCCCCCCCCAAAAAAAAACTGAAGGTGCAGCAATTTACTAAATGCACTATTCTACTAAGATTCAAATGTAAACAAACATGGCTACTCTGTTAGGCTTAGTCGCACTTAAACAACTTTTAAACTGCTGATAATTCTACAACTATTGCATGCAAATTAACTAAAAGCTAAAAATCTTAACCGAAACATAATTCAATCACTTTCAAAGCAAAAAATGCACAATTTACCAGCATATGAGAATAAATATAACTGAGCTCACCAAGACGAGTAACAGAGTGGGTATATAAAATTTTGGTACAGCCGATTGCAACCAAAAAGGAAGGTGCATAACAACATGTTATAGCAATCTAACATATAAAATTTCAACGTTCTGAGGCTACTCGTTTTTGCATTCGTTTCGTTTTTATTACCTGAGGCTACTCGTTATGCGAGATACATTCATACGTACGTACGTATGTATGTTTCGTTTTGGAAAAAAAAAAAAAAAAAAAAAAAAAAGAGTTCTTTATTCTGTCCTTACGTACAGATGTCAGGCAAACACATCTTAAATTGCATTTGATAGTGGTCAAAATGGATGCTTTCGTTGAAATATGATACCCAAAATTTTTCGCGATCACAATACTTCCTTTACTTCGTACCAGGAAGTACAAATGAATAAAACGGGAATAACACTGCTCTTCCGGTGTTAAAAATTCAAAAACAGAATACAGGGAAACAGTTACATCCAAAAGAATACGAATCTTCCCTTTACTATAAAGATAAGGTAATACTGAATATTGAGTTCAAAAAGGGGCTTAGCATGAGGTCTCGAGGTATATTAGACATGAAGTTAACTCTTCCACAAAAATATTTTTACAGAACTTTAACCAATAATGAAACAGTGTTCGTCTTAATAAATTTAGTCTCACATTAGCATAACTTAAGGTTAAATTTTGGAAATTATTAAATGAATAAGCGTTATAATGCATTTAGAAACCGTCACATATTCTTTTTAGGAAAATACTAAAGAAAATGTTAAGAAAGAGAAACTTTACAATTAACATGGGAAAATAATTTCACATTTGCCATTAAAATATGGGTAGAAATAAATTCATAATTTTAAAATTTATGAAGTATTGCACTAATTGTTAAATTTCAGTATACGAAAGTTTTTAAATTACAGTGAAAACCATACAAATTGAACAACAACACACACATATATATATAACTAAAAGAAAAATAAAATATTCCCAATAGCAAAGTTAATTAAAAATTTTAATTATCTTTTTAATTTTGAAAGAGATTTTTTTTGATACGAATGTAAATAAAATCAAATACTTTGAAAGCATTTCACATGCATTTTCAGTGTCTTTTTTAATAACAGAAGAGGAGATATTAAAATAGACTATAATTTTCGTGTTAAAAAAGAGGGATCGAAATATATACAACAACAATTTCAACATTATTAGAATAAAAGTAAAACGAGTATTTTATTCTAATAACGTGGCTTACTTACCTCGACTGTAAATTGCTCACAAGTTTCTAAAGATGGAGAAGCTATTGCAGAGGCATTCTTCTCAAATTGCCAAGGCTAACAAAAAAGAAAAGTAAATAAATAAATAAATACAAAGAACTGGTTACACTAAATTAAAATCCCAACAGAAAAATATATGATAATATTAATAAACAGTTCATGAATATAGGGTACATGTAGAATTGGGCAGGAACTAGAATTTCACCACCGGGTCGTACAGGTAGAGTTTCTTTAGGCTAAACTATGCGCAGCTGAACCCCGAATTTGATTGAGAGTACCCCCGGGGGGTGGATCCGAGGGTGTCCCACTTCTCTTCCCCTAGCACTAAAGCACTCGATAGAGCTTTCAGCTCGCTAGCATTTTAAAGGCTTCTATCCGTACAAACACTATACACTTACAAACAGCCATACCACCTCCGGGAGTCGAAGCCGGACAGACGAACGGCAACCAACATCGCTAATCTCTATATTGATCATGAGAACATTTTAATTCATACCCTTACAAAGAGTTTGCCTTCCCCAGATCATGCTTTCGTGGTGTAACTTGTTGTCGGTTGGATATCGGAAAATCTACGGACGAAATCTGGTGGGGGCATAACAGACTTTTCACGTTTCTGGCTTCCAGAAATTCCAAATAGCTCTACAAGTAACACCGGACTAAACTGTACTGGAAGGTAATTCGTCACTACCTGGATTTAGAGAGTGGGTCTCTTCCCTCCGCAGATGGTCTTTAAGTGGGGAAGAATATGAAGAATTTTCGTCTTCACGGTGTATGTTCGAGGATGGGGGTGTAAATGGTAGCACATCCAGCTAACATCTAGATCTAGAGCAGCGGTTCTCAACGTTTTGACTAACGCGTACCATCTAAACAAAAACTGAAAACTTTTAGTACCACCACTACAAAGTACTACTACCACACACCAATCTTGAACAAAGCTCAGGTCGCATAGATTTACGAGTGTTAGAGAAAAAAACTCAATCAGAATGTTGGGGTTTTAATTTTTGAATTTAATATTTAAAAATACTTTGCTTCTTTTTGTACCACCGGTTGCGAACCTCAGATCTAGAGTTTGAACTCAGGAAACGCTACAGCTGATTTTATCACATTTCTTGTTCCAAAAATTCAAATAGCATTACAATATCTCTACAAGTAATGACCAACCAAGCTTGTCACCACTTGAATTTGGTCGTCTTGGTCTTGATCCCCTCTCCCCAGTCGCCCTTTAAGTAGTAAAGAAGAATACAACGAATTCTAGGTTTCCTAATTGCGTGCCTTTGTGGTGTAACTAGAAGCACGTCTGGCTGACAATCGGAATATCCGTGCTTTGAATTCAGTCGAGGGCACAGCAGACTTTTCACGTTTTCCGGTTCTCAGAAATTCTTATATAGCACTTAAAAGTGCATTGTTAATTTAATTTCAACATTGCAAAATTTTGAAAAGTATATAAAAATTAATGTATCGATACAGATGATCATTCTTATTTACGATCTGAGAAAATTACACGAGGATATTAAACTTAACAAATATTAAAATATTTTTGGGAACTTCTGTAACAGAAACTACGTTCTAACAATGCAATGCTATAACGATAGACACAATCGTCAAAATAATAATGCAGAAAACGTTTAACCAATTACAGTGAGTGACCAAAATATTTGATACGCCTCTTAATACTAAAAACGTGTTGGTCCAGCTTTAGTTTGATTACAGATTTTTTTTTCTTTCTTCTGGGCATGGACTCAAAAAGGTATCATTTCTGTGGGATATCAAGCTATACTAACACAATGGCAACTCTTACGTTCTTTCAAACTGGATAATGGTGTTTCCAAGCGTTGAAGTGACCTTTGCACTTCATCCTCCAAAAGCTCTGTAGTAGTGAAGTTAAGAGACTGGACAAAAGTCACGCTGTTTAAATTAATGTGAGATTAGTCGTGCAAGTTGACAATGCACGTTGTCCTTCTGAAAGTGACCATCTGCGTCAAAGTACATTGCAGTCATAAAGAAGTATGTATGATTAGCAATGATACTGTGGTGTGGAAAATTGTTGTAAGATACATCAAGGAACCAACAATACTTTACGAAAACATTCCCCAGACCAGATTACTCTGCCTTCGGCTTAACAGCTTGATTAGCAAGAAATGTCAATAAATTCGTTCTATTTAAGTAGTATTCAGACCATGCCATCTGCATGACGGAGCACAGTTGTCAGAGGCCTACTTTTGGCACTCTTTGGCGTACAGAACCGAGATTTTCTACTTTTTTAATGGGGCAGCATAGGAACCCTTGATAGTCTTCAACTGATCCATTGCGAAGTTCAAGGTATTGTGCTTTCGGATATGCTTTGTGATGGAACTGATTTGTATTGAGCTGCCATTTGTCGTGCTGCTTACCTTCTGCTGATGCAGACAAAGCGTTTACTACAAACCAGAATCATTTCTGCGCGTTTAAGTATTCTGTGAACTGTTAGACTGATCTACCACACCTTGAAATTGCTTACGTACTTCTGTTAAGCCAGAAGTGCTTGACTTATTGTAACCAAAGTTGGGTCATTTTTGTTAATTTTATGTTTGAATAAAAGGGTCTTATACACCCTTTTTCTGATTTCTGTTTTGTTTCGCAAGGCTAGAAGATAATTCTTCAATAGTCCTTTTAAAAGTCTATGCTCCCAAAGATACATAGACTTTACAAGCTTTAAAATTGATAATTACTTCGATATTTACTTACCGTTGAAGCACCAGAGCCATCCCTCTGCGGCCGAGATGTAGTAGAAGGTGACTTATTAGACTTTTTCAGACTCGACGAGGTCATGAAGGCTTTACGCTGAGACGGATTCTTAAACGAATGGTACCTTCTCAAACCACGCATTTCATCTCGCATTTCAGACTGAGATTCAGATGGGATATTTTTCAATGATTCCGACTTTCGCAAATTCGTCTTTCTCGGAGGACAGACATTTCGCTCCCGATTCAATGGTTCCACAGTCGCCGTGCTCTCTTGAAATGGGGAAAAAAAATAAAAAATATTTTTAAAACATCAGATTATATAATTTCTAAGGATACGAAGAAATAAGATTTTTAAAATGTTTCTCACAGTACGCATGAGTAAAATTTACTCCAGAATTTTGTTTATACCTTCAACTAACTTATCATGACGCGGAACTCTTTAAAATGAATTTGCCTATAATACGGTAGCTTAATACTAATGTAACATTGCAAAACAGAACAGCTAGAATCTGCACGCATCTGTCTGTTAGGTTAGGTTACTAGTTTAGTGGTATAGACGTTTCGCCAATCGGCACTACGTGGCCAATCCAACTACAGAAGCAGGCCTGGGGGTCCAAACGAGTCCTCGCACCTTGAAGAGGATTGACAACAACCGCCATACGGCGACGCCGTTCATCAGTTTGCTACCTGCCAGTCGCTCGGGCTGCCCGCCGCTCAAGGACATTACCTAGCGTACCCGGGACGCTACTTCCAGGCTACTAGAGTCTTAAGCACTAGGACAAGCCAGACCCACGGGCCGACCAATAAATGATCTTTCCAGGACCTCCAGAACCGCTAGGTTCATAATTTGTATACCCACTTGTCCGAGACTGCCTAGGTACAGATCCTAGCCAGTAGCTTCACAGAATTCTCTACGTCGACTCCCCTCCCCCGGGGGAATAGGTTAGGTTAATTGAATATGGCAAAGCACACAAGGGAAATTTACGTACAGGATTGTATTCATGTTACACAGGGAAAAACCACAAAGCTAACTATGCAGCCAATCCGTAAGCCTGACCTCTAATGCCGTTCAGCGGTCTTAACCGCAAAGCCACTAATACGGCGTAAACAGCTTGCGACTTTCAATATAATTTCTTCCGACGAATCAAGCATTTAAACACGCTAAGTGTGATCTAGCATACTGTGACTAGTTGAACCGCACATGTTTTTCAATGAACACATGAATTTTCAGTTCTACACACTGATTTATATTTCTCAGCGTCACCTTCAGTTATCAGGCAAATTATACATAACTGAACTGTAAGCGAGTTGTAAACAAGTGAATAACACAAGTGACTACTATGAATGTGACAACCAAATATTACACAGGAACTCTGCAAATATGTGAACAGCACATATGATGTACATTAATATACACTGTTGAAATTGTTCAGTACAAAAAATACATCTGAATAACTTCTTATATCCAAAGTTACCACCTTCTTCTAGAGTAAATGTTCTCTGTAAATTCAAAATCACAATACATAAAACATTTCTAAAATACTCATTCATCACAAAATATCCATCTTCGGAAGTAACTTTACAAATTTTAATATTCCACAGAGATTTTGGCTGGGGCTAGCGACAACAAAATGGTCCACCAATTGAGTACTGATGCTGATAGTCTTCTAACAAGCGGTACAGCAACTCAACTCAACTGGTAAGTAATTAAGTGTACAACATACACATAATTAAAATTCAAACTAAAGTTTTTTGTGCATTTGCTTAGGTTATGAAACAAATTAAAATATTTGTGCAATGTTAAACAAATAATTTCCGATAAAAGCTAGGATAATTCTGCGATACTTGAAAGCGATGTGTCCAGACTGTCTTTCATACTGCTCCACTATGTTTACGACTCCTCACAGTATGTTTAAATAAAGATGATCTGTGAAAATGTATCGACTGCATCTCTATCTAAATATTCCCAGATCCTTATGAATCAGTCCAATATTATCATCTATGGCAGAGCCTAAAATTTCCTCATTACAGGGTGCAACAGAACTGGTGTTATAATTTTAAAAGATGACTGAACAGGGAAAAAGTAACAACTTTCATAATTCGACGCATGGTGGTAGAGAAATGTAAACGAAGAAAGCGTGAAGAACACGGAAATCGAAAAATCATTTTAATCACGAATGTTTCGAAGAAAGAGAGCTAGGCATCTGCAAGGTTTGTTCAAATGAACGACCAGAAGCTGGAATACAAACATTACAAATATCATCTCATTTAAACGAAAATGCAAATTGACGCAGATGAAAGATCTTGCTGTCATAATTAATGTAGCTACTGCAGAATTATGTGACACGCTAATCACTTCACTGCCTATGTGATGCAGGTCCTGCAGTGGTTGATCATTCATTTGAAAACTTTTAGTAAATATTAAAGACTATTTATTGCAAATATCTGTAACGGATTTCTTTTCCCTAGCATACACTGTATTACAAAGCTTGTTATTTTTGTCATGTTCTGTCAGTCCTAAAGTTTAGGCCTACCACTGCTATTGTAACTTCTCTCTCTCTCTTTATATATATAATATATATATATATATATATACGTAAGATAAAAAAATATAGAAATCAAAATTATAATTTAAATTAGCAGTAGCTCTCAATTTCTCTTTTTATTTTAGATACTGGCCCTCTTTGTTCTAAAAGTAGTAATATATTTTCTGGACTGTGTCATTTCTAGATCAATCCATATATATATGACTTAATAACGCTTATGACGTAGCTAATTCGGAACTTAAACCGAAACTTGACCTCTGTTCTCACTAAGGAGCATTTTGCTGCTTATGTATACAGTGGAACTTCGAGATACGAGTTTAATTTGCTCCAGTATTGAGATCATACAGCGAATTTCTCGTATCTAGAAACAAACTTCCCCACTGAAAATAGTGGAAATCCAGTTGATCCGTTCCGCACCCCAAAAAATATCTTTGCCATCTCATCTTCAGTCGACGTACCTGGTGTAACGATATGCACACCTCTGTTGAACATTTGCTTAATGAGAAAAACTTTCTGTTTTGTTTAGAGACTAATTGTCAGTTAGAACTTTGAAGAAAGGTGTTGCGGAAATCCTCTGGTGCGGTTTCCGGACACAAGGGACGCCGTAAATTACCCCATCCCAAGGTATTTCCGACAAGACGTTTAACAAAACGAAAGAGAGGGCTTTTTATGCAGTGAAAGACTTGAAAGAAGACGCAACCAGCGTCGTTGCCGCATCCAGCGGCCATTGTTTTGTATTATGGTTGTAATGATTTGATTATTTTACTTATTAGTATTCAAGAAATTCTTATTAAGTTTTTAAAATAAATATTTAAAAGACAACTGCTCATTTCTTTTCATCCAACACGGGTGTTCAGACGTTACACTGCTGTTTTTCGGAGAAGATCCAAGTACAGATTTTTAGCCTTAGCGCAAATGAGAGCTTCTGACACCGAATCGCCTTTTAACAGCTTCTCGTTAATCCACATCAACAGTTCCTAGGAGTTTTGTACGTGCTGGGATGTAACGGTAACTCCTTTGGCCACATCAAGTTCCTTAATTTCTTCCTTCTTCTTCAGAATCGTGCAGATCGTCGAGGTCGAACGGTAGTAAGTCTTCGCCAATTCCGTCACTCTTACACCACGCTTATATTTATCTATGATTTCTTTCTTCATTTCAACGGCCATGGCTTCTTTCTTTTTCTTTGCAGCACTATCTATTGGAGGCAACAATCTTCTTGGGAGACATCGCGAAATAATTATTTTCACATTAAAAGTAAAAAAACAATTAACTCACAAGCGCACGAACACGTACATCAAAGAACACTAGGTGATCTGACGAGGGGATTCCTCGAGTAGAGCGGGATCGGGAAACGCCAACAGCCTGGCTCGTTGCTCGTTACTCGAATCAATGCTTATATTTAGAAACGAAGTTTTCGCTCATGCTTTCCTCGTAGCTCAAATTGCTCGTATATAGAGGTGCTTGTATCTCGAGGTTCTACTGTATAGAGAGAGATAGCCAGATACAAATACACACACACCAGCTCTAAGTTCTCACCCGGCCTTTATTCTTGTAACCGTCTGTGTTTTATATTGTGAAACTTAAAAAAAATAATTATTATTATTATTAAATTTAACCTTTTTTACGGTCCTTCAGTCCGTATTTTTATATAAAAAAATTTTACACTCATTATAAGAAATGAAACACAAAACATTTGCTCCCCGTTGACAAAAATTTACCGAAATAATTTCAAAATTTCAGATAATTGACGCCGTTTCCAACTTGCTTTAAAGCGCTGGTTAGTAAATAAATTAGCATAATTTCCAGGGTAATTTTTCTCCTTAAATGTCATTCAGTGATAAATGTCTTAAATGTTTTCTGTGAATGCATGAATGCGTAACATTGCTTAATTTAAAGGGTTTTTTTAATTTACAATTAGTATGATGAAAGAATTTTCATATATGTAATTTATAAGATTTCAAACATTATGAACACGTTATTAATATTCTCATGAATTTTTATGACTTCAAAATGACACAAAAAATTCATTACATTAGAAATATTTTTAATTTTGCGAGTTGGGTATGTGTCAATAGTCGAACATGCCTGTGTTTGAAATTTGTTTGCATATTCAACTTCTGCTGTTCGAGAGTCATACCGTTTGCAGTTTACTATTAATAATCAGCACGAATTTTGCTAAATGTAAGTATGGAAATCGGGCGAACGTGAGAAAAGTTAGACTTCGTAAATTTTATAAGACTGATATTTTTAAATTTAAAATGTCAAAGCAGAGCCGTGTAAAGATATTTTTTCACCTGAAGCAAAAAGGTAAATACGCGCTCCCCCCCCTCTCTCTCTCTATATATATATTAAAATAGCTATATTTGTATTGAACAAAAATGAATGTATTAAATCAAAATATCCTAATTCTTATAGCATAATTATACCATAATTCTGAAAGTATTTTTAATCGTAGCTTTATCAAATTAGAAAAATTAATATAGCCAATTATTTATAACTTTCAAATGAAAATGTTAAAAAATTATTTTTTGATAAATAAGAAATAATATCGAAATGCACATTGCATTAGATTCAAGAGTTTCTTGCAATTCTTCCTATTGTTTTATTAATTTAAGTTTGTTGAAGCTTATTTCCCCTAATAATAACTGGCAAATTTAAAAACATAATTAAAGTAATTTTCGAATTCTTATGGTCGATTTGGGCCCCTTCTAGTGATTCACCTGAGGCAAGTGCCACCCTTCTCCCGGCTCTGTGTGAAAGTATGAATAATTGAGTCATTCGAGGCAATTCTGAGAAGAAACAATGTTGTAATATATATATATATATATATATATATATAATTTAATACGTAGAAGAAGACACTGGAACTTTTAACAGCTTTCGATATCCGTCATAGCTGAAGGTTGAATGCGTACTAATGAAGATAACAAATTAGATTTCTAGAAATCACCAATCTTTATTTTCGCACATATCGAAACCATCCTTTTGCAGACAAGATATTTTTTAATCACAGTGAGAATACAATAATTTCTATGTACACGGTTTTCAAAAGTACGACGTAAGTATGCTGGACAAAACAGCATAAGCGTCGCAGATTTTTTTGCAGGATGGGAGCTAGGGAAAGGAATGACGCAGTTGTTGTGCCAAGAGTATTTATACTACGTATGATGTATAGGTACAGCTAATCTGTGACTGGTTGGTTAATTTTAGGTTGTTATGGTAACATGGACATGCACATATATACATTTCTTAGTATTTGCATTTGTTTACGCATACTGAGAAATTTCTGAAAGTAGAAAAACAGAAAAATACTATAGAATATTATTTTTTAATTATTACCATTAAAATATCATTTTTAAAGTATTACTTTCGAAAAGGGAAAGTAGTTATTATCTACACGTTAACAAATTCAAAAACCTTTTTTAGAAATGCCTTTATACGATGCGAAATTTTCATGAGAACGCAAGCTATAATTTTATAACATTTAACTTTGAAAAATAAAACTAGTTTTTAAATTTATTAATGCAATCTGTGTCATTTTGAAAGAATGCACAGCTCTTTCATAAATGTCAAATTATAAAATTTCAGTTTTCCATTTGCTCATGAAGATTGCAATAAAACTGACAGCGTCAAAATCATTTATTTAAACTGCTTGTTCTATTTATTGTTAGCTGAAGATGAGACGCAATTTGCTATCTTCACTTCGTTTAACAAAGAATTCCATTACCGAAAAGGCCCATTTATTATGCGTACCACTTACTAAAACATGAGGAATTGCAATGCCATTAACAGGTGTGCCAAACAAGATACTTTCCAGTACTACTAATTAGGGTATAGTTTAACGACTATACCCTAATTAGTAGTACTGGAAGTACTTAAAATATATTACCTGCTTCTTCGATCTTTGTATGCTCTTGTTCGGAAGTCACAGAACTTTTACTGCTAGGACTCTGGATGGATTCCAAATATTCCAGCTTTTCTGAATTCGCAACAGAGGCTGGTTTGGAATTTGAGTTTGTATTCGATGCATCTGTCAAGACAGACTTTTCGGAACGATTCTTGTTCGGTATCATTTTTGAAACACCATCAAAACGACTCCGCTGGCTCCTCTGGATTCGATTCTCGCGTTTCCTGTTCCTTCTTTTAGCCTCAATTTCTTCCATTTGAGATAAAACATCTCTGTAAAATAGGACACAAGTGTTGTTAGCAATTCCGTACATATATAAATAATTTTAAAGAAATATGTAAAAAATATAGTTTTTTTTTTTTTTTTTTTTTTTTTTTTTTTTTGAAACATAATGTGAAATAGTAAGTTTTTTGTTATTGTTGTTGTTGTATAATATAACACCTAGAAGCGAAGCTTTGCCGGAAAAGTAAGAACACAGACGTCTATTTAACACTGAATACATAGCTATCTCGCTAACTTGGCAACATATCGCCAAGTTGGCGATGATTTTCGGCGATTAACTTTTGTCGCCAAATTTGGCAAGAAATCGCTAAACTTGGTGACCGTTTTGCAATATTTTGGTCCGGTCCCTGTATAACTGTAATAGGCTCTGTAATTAAATAACTACAATTGATGCTCTGATGTATGGGTGACGTCAGCTGAGATACATAGAAGGCGCTAATTCTCAATTTGAGAGGCGCCAAAAGTGTAATTTTCTAGGAAGGAGACCGAGAGAAAGGTTAGAAAAGGGAAAGGCTCAGCTGTTAGTGAAAACGAAATTAACTTGTCTTAATAAATGTATATATTTCAATTATTAGTAGTGTAGTTTTAGTGATCTATAGTGTGTAATTTTGTGCGTGCAATAAACATTTAAAATACGAAGCTGGTGGATAATTATTTTTATAGAGGTGAGAAAACCGAAGTGACATTACAGATGTTACATGTAGCTGTAACCATATCCGGCCCTCATATGCCTCCATTCATTTCGATAAATGGAAGCTACCAGAAATCTCTCAGCGGCTGGGAGAAAACTATATAAGACCAGGGACAGCATCAGTTCCTGAGTAGTTGTTTAGTTTAGCGTGGCTCAGAATATTGAGATATCTCCGTGTTAGCTTTGCTCTTTAGATGAAATGTTAGTCTCGAAACGCAACTTCGCATCGTCCACTACATCATTTTTCAGAATGTTGCAAGCAGATCATTATATTATTTACATTATTTTTTAAAGAAATTAAATAATAAAGATTCTGTATGAGCGTATGTATGTTCCTAGCATAAAAACAGGGGGACCTAGAACCATCAAATTTTGAATAACGAAATCCTCCACCCGAACATTTACACTTGGAAACCCGAATTTTGAATTTCGAATTTGTTTTATTACCTATTTCATATTTTGTAAAACTTTAATGAATATTTCATTACCAAACTCGACGATTTCAAAGAGAGCAATGGCATCACTGTGCGGAAAAAACACTTTTATCTCCAATTAGCGAGATTAAATGTCCCAATTAACTGCTCGTCTTTCCAGCTCCATTAATTTTATTACTTTTTAAATTTATAATTTTTATTTATTTCTTCCATTTTCAATATTTCGTAGTTTTATTCCCATTTTAATCATTGATACTTTCTGTCTGCTAGAAAGGCTTATGTTTATTATCAATGTTATAATTATCATAGCTTATTAAAAAAAAAAACCTGAAAAATAAACGCATCGAAAATTTTGCAAATTATTGTGTTTCTTAAGAGATCGCTGGAAATTTCTTACTGAATAACAAACCACGTGATATGCTTTGACTAGACTTATTGGTTTACTAGCTCAAAGCAATGGAGACACAAAATCTTCCCGTGTTGAATTGTAACAAAGAATACCTTGGAGTTTCACAAGAATGAAATACTCAGCAATTAAATGCGTGTTATATTTTACTTAATTACTATTATTTTTTAATGAAAGTCCTATCAAAAATGGGTAAAACTATTACAAATTATGTACGCAAAATTTCCAATATTTTTTTTTAAAAAAAAATCTCTTATATTACGAACTGTGCTTGAACGATCCAATGTCGCAGATACTTTCTTTAATTAAGATTAAAGTTTAAAAGATATCCGTTAGAAAAGTTAAAAAACAACGAATTTACTTTATCCGTACGTGCTCATACGAACTTACGGAATGATAAACTGAGTTACCATTTATATATCCAGTGCATTTAAAATATTTTAACAAAGGACATTTTGAATAAGCCCTAAGTAAATGCAGCTAACTGTGGATAACAAAACCGCACAGAAACCACCTTTTTCATTCCTGAAATGCAAAATGCTCTCAGACGTACCGCAGAGCATTTACTTCCAAATACTGTCTTTCCTTTTAAATTATGCAAGGAACAAAACCACCTCTGAGAGAACGTGATGTCAGAAATGCAAATGAATTACTAAGAAAGATGGAAGAAGACGTGCAATATTTTACACCTTCTTTTTCTTCTACCTCAATGCGCATTACCATTTCAAAGATAAATTAAATCCACCCCTTCTGAGATAATATTTTAAATTTTTTTAAAGTTATTCAAGAATACAGACAGACACACAAGAAGCTTACATAGAAGAAAAAAAGGGAAAAATTCCTTATCCCAAGACGACATTTCATTGCCCAGTCCTGCTCAAATGATAGAGTACATTTTCAACAAACCAGACACACTGGCACCAGTCGAAAGAGTATACTCAATAATGAATATATAAGGTATTTCTCCCGCCTTCGTAGTGTAGTGGTCTGCACGCAGGGAGCGTATTCCAGAGATCCGTGGTTCGATTCCCGTCGAGAGCGTTGCTCTTTTTTCATCACTCCTGCTTCCAAAAAAAATAACTAATGTCTCTACAGTGGCACCCGAACTAAAAGGTGGTGGATGATGATTCTCCATACCCAGGATTTGGCGATTGGTTTCTTTAAAAACTCCAGTAGCCCTTTAAAAGGGGGAGTATATAAAGTATTTCTCCCGCCTTCTTAGCATGCTTTCGTAGTGTGGTGGTCTGCACGCTGGGCGCGTATTCCAGAGCTTCGTGTTCGATTCCCGGCGAGGGCGTTGCTCATTTTTCATCACTCCTGCTTCCAAAAAAATACCTAATGTCTCTACAAATATATGGTTTGAAGAAAGAGGCAGAATGGCTGAATCAAACGTAAAAGCTTTATTAAGCTTCAAAATTATCAGTGAACTATTCGATGCATTAAAAACAACAAAAAATATTTAAAGAAAATTCCGATTAGTGATAAATACTTTGCACCACTGATAGGGCTTCCGACATAAGGTAATACTTAACGGAAAATGCCGACCCAGAGGATATTACTTATTGAGAAGATCCTTTTTACAGAGAGTTTTTACCATGAATGTTTTTACATGACAGTGAAAGTTATTTACAGTAGTTCTTTTTAAGAACTACTGTAATAACATTAATGTAAAAAGAAAACAATAATTTTCTTTTTACATGCTACGTTAATAGATTGGATTGGATTGGATTATTTAATTATGGCAAAGCACAAGAGGGCTATCTGCCTAAAGGGAGGGATGCCTTCGTGGAGGACTTTCTAAGGGAAACGGGCTCGATTACATGTTACACATGGGGAAAACCACGAAAACGCCCATGCAGCCAGCCCGTTCGCGGATTCGAACCTCGGACCGAACTACCAGTGTTCAGCGTCTTTACCGCTCGGCCGCTGGTGGGCGCTACGTTAATAGAATTTTGATACATATTTCAATTTGATTTTAATAAATTTACATAGTTCAAGATTCAGAGAAAGTTCTAGAAAAGTTCAATAGATCAAAAGTTCTTGAGATATAAAGTTTTTAAGTTCTTTTGTCGAAGATTTCGTACATAAAGTAGTTCGATGTTTCAGATGATTTAATTTCAGAAACTCTTGGCTGATTAATATAAAACTAATCAATTTCAATTTATATCTTAGTCCGAATATTAAAGTCTTTTTTTTTTTTTTTTTTTTTTTTTTTTTGTAAATGATTTTGGAACTTAGTTAATTTTGATATATACGAAATAAATAACAAAAAGTAAATAATGGACTGAGATGTTTTAACATCAGAATCCAAAAAAAATTAGTCGATGAAAATAATTGTTTAGATTATTTGTTATGATTGGTACACTATTCTATTGTTTTTGAATTCCCCCCCCCAATGTCAGATTGTGAACAATTACAAATGTAACCCAGTACATTAATTTATACAATGCCGGATGTGGTGATCTCTTTATTATGGAGGCACCTGATAGGTGGGCCACCATTGCCTTTCTTATGAAGGGACGGGCAGTTACAACCATGCCTTCTCCGGGATTCGAACCCAGGCCCTTTAGCATCGCAGTCAGCTTCCCTGACCATTATACTGACTGGGCGGCTTGTTTTTGAAAGTTAATATAAAACAGAATGTTTTAACAGGTGTTGGCTCCATTCTTTCCGGTATTCATTTGAAGGTTTATTCAAGTGATGCTCTTTTGTATATTCACATTCTAAAACATAATGGTTGGGCCTTCTTATTTTACCACAATTAGAAACGTTAGTATCTTTAAGTATGAATCTATTTAAATATGTTAGAAATGGAACATGTCCAGCTAAAAATGTTGTAATCGTAAAGGACGATGATATCAGTTTAATTGAAACATTTTTCTTTGTCCTGGTTTATTATTAATTTATCTTGATTGCGATTGCAATAATAGATCTTTGAATCTGTGAAGCACTTTGCATTTTGCACAACTGAGAAAGCTTCCGACCTAAAGTGATACCTAACGGAAAAATCCCACCCAGTGGAAATTATTTATTGAACAGATATTTTAGAGTTTTTACAATGAATATTTTTGCATGTCATTGATATTTTTACATCATTTATACCTGACAGTGAAAATTATTTACAGCCTTCTTTGCATTTGCTACGCTAGTTCAATGTTTCAGATGATCTTGGTTTAGGTCTTGGTTAATTGATATAAAGCAACAGTTATATTTTCAATTTAGATCATAGGCCGAATATTATAATCTTTTTATAAATGATTATTGAATTAAGTTAATTTTGATATGTACAAAATAAATATAGTTGATGAAATTAACTGTTGAGATTATTTGTTAAGATTGATACAGTATTCTATTGGTTTCGAAAGTTTATTATATAAAGCAGGGTGTTTTAATAAATGTTGGGTCCATTCTTTCCGGTACTAATTTGAAGGCTTATTTAAATGATGCTCTTTTGTAAAT